TTCTCTGGACATGCTCCAGCCCCTCAATGTCTTTCTTGTAGTGAGGGGCCCAAAACTGAGCACAGCACTCGAGGTGCGGCCTCACCAGTGATGAGTACAGGGGCACAATCACTCCTTTAATTGCAAGTGAATTTTCAAATAAGATGGTGGAATTGAACCTAGTTGTCCACTCTCCTTTTTTTGTATTGTGATACAAAGAGAGTCCTTACTGTTTTCAAACACCGTTATGATAAAAAAAAAAACTTGTTTTATTCCGAAATATTTTGTATTTCTGATCCTTTCAAAAGATTTTTTTTTTTAGATTTATTGTTTTTACCTTCAGTTGTTTTCAGAACTAATGCAACATACTTTTTATACCACGAGATTAGCCTTCAAGAGTATGTTAGCTCTATCCTGGTATATTTTGTTGACATAGGTAATAGTAGCAGCACTGAAAGGAGTGAATATTTTCTTTTTCCCATCACGGAAAAAAGTGAGAGTATCAATCAAACCCTATTTATTCAGTTATTAAACACACAAGTAACTATTAGAAGTAATTCCATATACATGAGTCTTCCTCTAGGAAGTAGAAAATGAAAATAATTTGATCAGTACAAAATCTGCAACAGTGTACCAACACACTCAAGAATCTTCAGTAATTTGTGTAGTTATGCGGGAACCAATTTGAAGGCAGCAGAATCATTGTTTATCATTTTTTGTAAAAAGTTTATTGTGTCAGCACATAAAGTAGATTTCAAATAGGATCTCTGAAAATTGGGAAAAGAAATAAGACATAAGTAAACTATTGACTGGGAATGTTATTGCTATTAAAATACTTCCTCCCCTCCCCCCCTTATGTATTTTTACCTGCCTTTTTTGGATGTGAAAATTTCAGTTTAAAGGCAACATTATTCTCACATTTTCCTTTTAGAATATGAAATTCATATTTGCTGGGGATTTTTTTTTTAATTTGTGATGGAGGCTTCAGTATGGGGTGGTTTTGTTGTCAGAAGTTTTTTTTCCTATGTTCGTGTGATTTCATTTCATCAGGTACTCAAATCTAGTATTTCCTGTTATTTCATTAAAGTTCATTGTACTAGAGACAGTCAGGAACACCTATATACGCATGTGTACTCTTTACATACATGAAAGGTGCAACTATGTAGTAAACACAACTTCAGCTAGTGTAAAAGATATTCAGCAATGTCACTACAGAGTCCTTATTCTCGGGTAGTATAAATTCATGCAACTTCATTTGAAGCGTGGTGGCACCAGTTCGTATCAGGTTAGGAGTTCTTCTTTAATTTTTATCTGAAACACAGGAACTTGTTTGTTTTGGAAAGAAAACAGGAGACAGTTCAGAAAATGAATTTAGCTGTGAAGAACATTCTCATGTTGCCAGTGAAGAGATCAGGTGTGGGATTTGAATATGCTGGAGAACAAGTCAAAAGTTTTTTGCTGACTTCAGGGCATTTCACAAAAACAAACCCCAGACTAGGCAGCTGCATCTTTAGGTATCTGTATGTACTGTTTTCCAATTCTCTAAGTTTACTTCTAAATTATTACCAATATTACTTTAAAGCAGTAAGCTATTTTAACTACAGTTATAGTCTGTGGTTTTGTAAACTGATGCACTTGAGTGATATGATAGGCCAGCTTGAAACATCACTGATTTGGGATTTTTGGCTAATCCTGTTTTACACTGGCACATAAACTGCAGTGGTTGTGATTGAGTGGTACTTGTTGGAGACATATTTTAAGGGAGACATATTACAATTTTTTGGGATACCTTTACTCTGTGTTTGGATTTTGATCCAAAAAAATCCCTCTTGCATATGTTCAGATTTAAAATAGCTAAGAGTTATTTCCCCCTCCCCTTGCTTTCATCTAGTATCCTTGACATTTTTATAACCTTACATTTATTTTACCAACTGCTGAAATCCCTTTTGTGTAGAGAAGTTTCCACTTTATAACTTTGACCCTTCCTCATTCCCTGGCTCCTCTTTTCCAGTTGTACATGGCCTTGACTTTAAAGAAAAAAAAAATTGTCTTAATGTATTTGTGACAAGGCCTAGATTTCCTTTACAAGGTAAATGAAGTGCCATATGCTGAGAAAAAAGTTACTGCTTAGATTAAATATTTGAAAGTTTACATTTCCCACCTTATACAGCAACTTTGTGTATATTTGTTATGATAGCGCCTAGAAGTGATAGCTTTCTTAAATTAACTGGTCTGATACAAAGTTGCATTTTTTAGCATTTAATATTTTTTTTGTTTGTTTTAGAGTAAGTTGTGTTTTGGTTGGTCCTTTAATATAGATTTCCCCTTATTTTTTCAGATACTTAAAGCTTCAAAAGAAAAGTCCCTACATCAGGAGGACCAGCCCTAACCATACGCTACAAAAGGGGAGCAGATGGTTGTAATAGATCTTACGATGTAATTACCAAGCAGTTCAGGGTTTGGGGAACAAACACTAAGATATTGTAAATGGGTTATAGCCAACTGTCGTTTTAGTAAGCTTTTTTAACACTCGGATGTTTAATTTACATTCCTGTCTGACTTTTTTTTGGTCACGTTTAGTGAATTCATTATTTTTTTTTCTTCCGTGTTAGTGACAGAGTTGCAACTTTGAGCTGCATTTCATATGTGCTGTTCAAGCAATTGTTAATATTCTATTTATAATGTAGCAGCAAGTACATTTTTTCAAATTTTAATATATATCTTTTGTTGTGGATGCATACAGTATGTACAGAGCAGTTTGGTCAAATGAAACATATAATATTATGAATTTTTTAATGTTTTATAACTGCTGATATAGCATACAGCCTAACTGCATTTTATTGAATACACTAACCAGGCACACACTATGCTGTGAAGTTTGACTTGTATCTCTTTGCACTGATGTTATGTCAACAGTTACACTACATGAATTTCAGGTGATTTTAAAAATAGTCTAACAAGACAGAAAATGTGTATGTTTAATTCATGCTATTAAAAGGGCAGATTACTAAATTACTTTTTTTCAGAAACCTTTTCTGTGCGAATTAGAACTCTTTATTTATGCACATTTGATTTTTTTTTTAAAGTAAAAATGTCTAGAAACTACATTATAGCCAAGCAGGAAGTCAGTGTAGATTGCAACAAAACTAAGTTGTTGGAATCAGGTTGAGTTCACTAAAATTATTCTAGTTTGCCTACCAATATAGTGATTTCAAAACTGGATTTTAATAAGCTTTATATTCAGTGAATTATTAAAAAAGTCAAATCTGCCTAAATACTTGACTTGTAAATTTATTTTTTTTTTAAAAAAAAGCTTTGGAAATTCAACCTTAAGAAAAATAGGGTGTCAAAATTTAAGATCTGCGATCGTAAATGCTCTTGTCAATGGTATGTCTGAAATTTAGATTTCGAGTGATTTAGAATTTTAATACAACAGGTGTACTTTTTACCAGTTCTGTGCTGCTGTTCCACAATTATGAAGACATATTTTATTCTTTGGCATTTTGCATGTGTTTCTTTCTGGCTCAGGAATAATTGCTGTGATTTTAGGAAATTGCCAAGGCTGATATGGGAGCTTAGAAGAAATAAAACAAGATAAATTTTTAAGAAGAAAAATCAATTTGGTAACCCTAACAGTGGTTGCCTTTTGATTGACAGGGAGATTTTAAATTTCTGTAACATTGTTTTGAAGTCAGGTTTTTAGTTGCTTACATTTAGTGGAAGGGGCATCATATATGCTTGCCTATTTTGTTTGGGATTTAAGTAAGACTCCACATAAGTGAGTGTTACATCTGACCAACAAACAGATGTCCCAAAGTGATTTCTTTAGACTTTTCAGGAAAGCAATAATACTCTTAGACTGTGATGTGGTTTGGGATGGGATATTCTAGTAAAATTACTCGTGATTGTGAATTGCAGAGCAATAATTTTTACAAAGCCATATTTTGTGAGGAAGTGTGGGAATAATTTTAGAATGGTGAATGGAGGACTTTTATATAACAGTGGCAGCCTATTTGTAGAATTATGGGACTGTGAGAGTATACTATGCTGTGATCAAATTTTAAGTTTTTGTAACTGGGTATGTGATTTTACGTGCTTCATGTTTACAAAAATATGCCAAGCTGAGCAAGGTCAAGAGGACTATTAAAAAAATGTATATTTAATCTGTTTTAATGTTTGGCTGCAATAAAACACAGAATAATATCTTTGTCTTTCTAGTGTCATTATTTTGTCCAAAATAGGGTAGATATTAAATATTGGCCTCAGCCACTCATTAATATTATTTTTGAAGTAATAATTTTGAATCATTAAAAATATATTTGAAAGTGTTATTTGCAAGGAGGAAGACATACAGCAAGTAGAAGTAATTTTTATTTCTGGGTGGTATTATGTGAAGGAAATGGGCATTACTCTAAGGTCTATATCTTCTATAAATGTGTTGTGTTTCTTCTTTCAGAGTATTAGCTATTCTACAACCAGCTTGGCCTGGATTTTGCCCGTGATACGTAATTTCTATTTGTAACTTCAAATGGATGAGATATCACTCTTTAATAAAGGCAAATGTGTGGAGAAAGCATGATATCTACCTTTCATAGAGAAATATTCTAACAAATTGTGTTGTACGTTTATGTTGATTGAGATTCACATAAAATCTACAAAGTATGAAATACATTTTAGTTGTGACTCAGGTCAGTGCCACATGCACTCACAAATATTTAGAGGTATTGTAATATGAAAAATAAATATATTCTTTATAGTAGAAGCCTTCTTAGGAATACCTGGTGCACACATTACACAGTGATAGCAGTTCTAGCCTATAGAGATTGGTTAAACCAGTTTTGCCTGTGATTTTGGTCTAGATTTATTTTGCTGGAAACAGAAATTAAGTAAAGGATGAGACTGGTTTGAAGAGCAAAGAAATTTCTTTTGTTTGAGCTATGATTGGTTTAAGTTGATGATAAAATAGTCTCAAGATTTATTGTCATATCCCTGTCTTTGAGACAGCATGTTTTTAAACCTTTGTCAGAAATAGCATAATTAAAACCATTTGCACCATTGAAGTAATCTAGGAATCAATGTGGAGAGAACAAAGCAATATGTGCTGAATACAATGCTGAAGTGAATTCTTAGTTAAGTGCAGTGAGAGCTGAGAGAAACAAGATCTTCAAGGTTGCTAAGAACGTCAGGTTGTGATGAATTTCAAAAACAGCAACCAAGGAGGAGAAGCTGGAATATCTAAAGACCATTGGAGAGGCTTTGGTGAAACAAATGGCAGCTAATTTAGCAGAATACAGGTTGAAAAAAGTCTGAGACACAATTTGGAGAATTGATCCTATCCATACATAAATGGGTATAGAGAACTGTAGGTTACATGTTGCATGAACCTCTGTAATAAAGAAATGTGTAGCTGGACAAGAAATGGGAGGTGGGAGCAGGCTTTAGAGTGATGAGCTCGTACCTTGTTCTTCTGTGATGGAAAAGAAGTTGTAGAAATAACATGAATGTCCAAGATGGGTGGAAGAGGGTTGCTGAGTGACCTAGAGGGAATTAGAGAGAAGTCGTCAGGTGAGAATACCAGTGTTGCTGATAAGGGAAAAGATACAGGGAAAATGGGTGGCTTGGTAGCATGCTGTGCCATGGTTTACTGTCCTGTAATCAATTGTTCATGTGCTTTGAGTTGGTAAAAAAAAAAAAAAAAAAAAAAAAAAAGGATATAAACTGTTCTGTGTCTCATCTGGAGCTGTGTTATTGCTTTTTTTAAAATGCAGTATTCCTGATGAGATACAGGTGACATAACCACTTTATTTATTGTGTGGTAGGCAGGGGGGAAAAAAAAGCTAGTATTTTAGCAAGTACTGAATAATGCTTTCATTAATATACTGTTATAGTAATAATATTCCTTTTCCAAGTTATCCCATAGTACGTAACTGACTCTCTACAGATCTTTTTGTAATTTCTTTCAGTTTAATTGACAGTCTGGATTTTATGATGTAATTGAAGAGGTTAATGACTTTCAATATGACCATATTTATTTCATTTACCATATCATAATCAAGTTAATACTCATTCTGCCTTGTGCTGAATATAAAAATCGGAGTCATACTGTCTGCACATTCAGTAGTAGCAGTTGTCAGCTTGTAGTAAAGGGTGAAATTAGAATGTGAAATAGTTTGATTTCATGTGTGTGCATAACCCAATTTCTCCATGAAAAAGAAATGTTTTTACATGGTGTATTTTATTCACAATATAATGCTTCTGAGCAGTCAGTTTAAAAAACTGAAAATTGAGTATTCTGACAAGATGTCTCTAATGAACTTAGAAATTAAAGAAAACATTTTTTCTGTATATAAGAATACATAAAAATTAAAGAGTGTATGTTAGGAAAAAGATTATAAAAAGCCAACTGACTTCTCTTTTTAGTGTTGCCTATTAAGTTTATTGGGAGGAAATACTGGAAGCTTATAGGGATGAAATTGAAAATAGAGTAATAATGCTACAATTATGAGGCAAGATGCTTTAAATGCTACAGAGTAGGGCAAGATCAAAAAGCGTTTAGAGAGGAGAAAAAAGAGGAGAGGGCAAGCCTGTCTGTACATGCCACCTTCACAATATACACATACATGATTTTGGCACAGTATGTAATCTCTCTTTTGCTACGGACTCTCTTGTGCTTATTTAACATTTACCTGTGCATTCAGGTGTTTACAAATACCTGGGTTAAATGATTTTAAAAATTGAAGTAAGACAGAAGCTTCCAAATGCCCAAGTCACTTCTGAAAATGAGACCTAGGTTCCCAATTTATTTAAATGTTTTTTACATTTCAGTTAGTTTTTAAATATTTTAATTTATTTTTTCCTTACAAAATAGTTTGCCTTGTAAGCGTGTATCACTAAAATCTACCAAATATCTAAAGGGGAAAGTGTATGAAATATCTGTGATGGAAGCAATTATGTAATAAGTATCTGCAGAGAAAGGCCTTTTGTGTAACCATAGTTCCAACTAGGTAATCTGTGGTTACTGTAAAAGAAAAACAAACAAACAAACCCCCAAACAAATCAAAAATTCCTGTTGGCCTAATCATATGTTGAGCATAAACTGTAATTTTATTGTAACTCTTTCTTATCATAAACTGTTAGCATAAATTTATTTCAATGAAACTATATTTTTAATATTCCAGGAAAAAGTGACAAAGAAACTGAACAAGACAAAGCAGAAAAAGGTAAGTCTGAAAGTAACATTCTATTCTGAAGTTCAAAAGCCTGCTTTTTGGGAGGACCGACTTAAATCAGATGAAACACTGGTGAAGCTTAGCTCCTGTACATCTCATGTAGATAAATTGGAGTTGAATAAACATTCAGAGTGCATTTGCTTCTGTAAGTAAAAGCACAGTCACTTCCAAAGCTGACATCAATACATTCCCCTCTTACGTGCTTAAAAACTTTTGCTGTTGCAGGAGTAAAAAGCTTCTGTGCTGTACTCCTACTTCAGCATCCGGAGGTCCACAGCTTCGCCGGGTGTCTGTGGGCAAGCGCCTGGGCTGCCTGGGCCGAAAGCTGGGTTCAGCACTGCCTGAACACTGCCTGCCTCCCCTGGCCTGGGCAGATGCCTGGATCTGTGCTGTGCATAGTCTGACCTGGTCAACCAGTAATACAGCAATTCAATTTTATCTGGTCTAAACAGATGCAGCTATGGTGTGGTGATTATATCTATCTGCAGATGCTGTCTGGGAGCACTGGTAGCTACTTTAGAAAGACACCAGGTGGCACTAAGATTGGTCCTCATCAACTCCATTTTCACCCAGTAAGGGTTTCCACCTGGTTTAGGTTAGGTAAGAACATGCAGAAGCAGGTTTGGTGGAAAAGCAGCGAGTGGTGCTGAGAGCACTGTGAATCTGTTCTCCTATGCTGACATTGGTGCTGGCCCCACGCGTTCCCTGTCACTGCATGAAGCTTGCACAACCTCTGCCATCAGGATCAAGTTTTCTATCTGTCCTTAGCTGCATCATTACAGCCAGCAATGCACAAAAGCCCTAACACTTCATATTATGTAATTACACTTCACGGAAGTGTAGTTCTCTGAGTCCAAAACTGCTGTATAACACCACGCTGAACTAAGTGTTCAGACACTAGACATTTAGTGCATACTTTTGTACAGAAAGTCAATGAAGAAGTGTATTTCTGACCTTGTCAAAGAATTGCTTCATTCTAGCCTTTGAATGAAGCCAAAAGATTTCATGGTGAAAGGGAGAGGTGAATGACGGAAATACATGCCAAAAATAAAATTATCATTCTGCAATTGTTTCTTACAATCAACATCTAACCAACCAACAGTAATTTCAGACAGAAGACCCTGTAGAATACTCTTTACTGCAAGGGAAATTGTTCTGGAATAACTGCAGCTGAAGATTTATTATAGTCATTAGATTCCACAGCTTTATTAGTCCCTAAAATGCCTCAGTTTTTATTGTCTGATTGCTTCCCCAGATAAGTTGATTATACAGGTTTTGTCTGTTCTAGCAGTACCAGTTTAGAAAGATCTTTTAATTATTGTAGTGCTACTGGCTTTAAATTGTCTAGATGCAGTGACTTTGGTTTTATACCTCCTGAGTTATCATTTATAGAAGCCCATAAAACAAGTGGATCACTTGTGCGATCTGTATCTCACCTAATGAGCTTCCCAAACAACAGGACAATGACAGGAGTTTTTCATCATCATCAAATTCTCATTCAAGCGCCCACTGAGAGACAGCACAATTTCAAAAACTAATTTAGGTAATGATATGGGTCTAGTATGAGGAGGGAAGACAATTACTTGAGCAAATTTTGAATTCCAGGTAAAAGTAGTTGGTATGCTAATATATACGTATGTTTTGCGGCCCATAATTGAAACTTGGAAACTTGGACGGGGAAGGTCAGAGTATTTGAGGGAGGGGGTGGGGGGAATTAGTAAGAGAGAAGGTCATGAAATTAATTGGAAAACTTCTACAGGGAATGATCGTTGGTATCTGCTTAGCATTGTCTTTTAAGGTGCCCATCCGCAATTTGCCAAGAACATTATTACTGTATTTGTACCACAGCAAGGATAGGAGAGTGTTTAGAAAAGAAAGCCTATGGCCCCTGGAAATTGCTTCCTAGAATTTTGACAGCTTAAGATGGAGAACTAGCAGGAGGAGCTTTCACTGCCAATGGCTATGAGACTGCGTCACATGGAGAGGTTTCTCTTTCAGATTTGGTTTAAAGTTGCCACCACCCACGTGTCTGGTGTTGTCAGTGTGGGAGAGAAATAAGAAGGCATCATTATATAGTTAGGACTCTAGAGGTTATAACTTTTATTTAAAACTTTATTTAAAACATTTAAATAAAACTTTTCCACTGGTGGTAAGCAGAACATGCAGCCAGTGCAGCAGGATTGTTCCAGCGTCGTTTTCAATTCAAAAACTGGGGACCATGTGTCCTCAAGGTGGCTGTGAAGACCATGGTTTATCTTGAATCCTTACACCTTATGAAGGTAACTAACTAAAAGCCAGAGTCCTTGCTGCTTTCTGTTTCACATGCCAGTAGTAGCAGATGCAAGATAGAGGATGCCACCAGGAATGACCCCTTGGCATTATAATGACGATAGGAGAAAAATAAAAATAATCCAATGGCAAGAACTAAAATCTACTTATGAGGTGGTTTATTAGATAGGAAGCAGAGTCTTTCTATCCTCACGTTTTCTCTCCACACCCTCAGAGAGATTGTGACGTTACCATCTTGTCGTTTCTGAGGAACTAGAAATTTCATTAGAAGGCATGTTTAATTAGAAATACTCATGCTAATAGTGTAATATGGACTCTTATAATCACAGGGGAGGCTACTGCCCCTCTCCATTCACTACGAATCCTGCGGCGTTAGTTTCCAAACATTAAAGCAAGACAGTTTAGCTTATGTGGAAGGCACCCTTCCTCCAAGTTAGACCGACCAGGGTCTAAGTCATTCCCATCAAGGCACAGGACAGGTCCAAGGTGCCACCTCCAGTGCAGGAGATAAACCTGCCCTCCTGCTCCACCTCTTTTCCTAGGCTATGAACATAAGAAAGGGAGCAGAGGGCTTAGAGAATAGTTCATACTGACAGAGTATGGAAGGTGATGGAGGAAGAGGAGAAAAGGGCAGCAAGAATGGGTGGAAAACTGCCTGAGCTATTCCCAGTTGGGATTTCTTCCTGGCCACAGTTGCACATCAGCTAACAAGCTCACCGTTTGTGGTGTCCTTCTTCCTGGCACGTCTATCATGTCAGAATAAAATACAGAATTGTAGAATATTTGCTCCCAACTTTTTAAAATGCACGGGAGTGAGAGGTGATTTGTGATAAGTGTGTGAAAGTTCATACTGGTTTTTAGAGATGGCCACTATTTTTTCTGAGCAGTATTTCCTCTGATGCTATTCCTTCATAGTTCTGAAACTTTCTGCGAGATCAGGTCCTGAAAGAAAGGAATGAACAGTTTCCTGAGTCTTTCGATGTTCACACTACCAGCTTCCAAACAACCTGTGGGAGTGAGAGTTGTCATCTAAGGGTAATGTCAATGAGTGAGGAGAACAGCCTGGATGGGACTCTGTTCCAGACACTTGCATGTGACCGCATGTGCTAGCGTGGTGTCCAAACTGCGTTGTATACAATGGTCAGCTATACAGTCAGTGGAGCCTTCTGCTAACCACCTAATAGGTGTTTACTTCGTGCTGAACTCACTTTTTAGGCTTTGTTGACTGTAATGACTAGATTTCTAAAGATTATATAGCAGGGTTTAGGTGTCTACATAGAGAAACCTAAATTTAGTTGCCTTAATTTTAAGCTGTCACTGCACTGGTGACATTCACAAATGATGACTGAATGAACTTTTAGCTAGAGAGCAAAGAGCTGTGCCATCAGGTACTGCTGCTGAGCCAAGCAGTTGTATTGCTTCATGCTCAGGCTGTGATAATTTGCAGGTAATAGTGGTGCATCATGTGTAGAAGCAGAAGTGTTTCTTGCAAAGGGATGGTTCTGTTAGCACCATTTGGTACAGGGCATATGTAATTATGTGACAAAAGAGAGGTTTGGCACTTGCATTTGTCTTTCCTTGGGTCACTCTTATGGCTGCTTATAGCCCTAATCATGTTCTGAAGTACGCAGCAGAGACGGAGAGTAGCAGTAGAGTAGATGGTCAGTAACAGGGATTTTGGGTAACAGTGTAGGGGAAAAGACCCTTGAAGAAGGGCATGAGCAACAACTGTGTGGAAGAAAATAGGTATCTGCAAACAAGTTGGGGATAAATAGGACGAGCTGGACCAAGGAACAGATTGTGAACAAGTCTAGAAATGAAAGGGAAGAAATGTGGTAGGGCATCAAGGTTGAGAAGGGGAGAGGCTGGAGAAGAGGATGACCGGAGAAGGAAAGGAGAGAAGCGTAATGGTTGAGTAGAAGCTGCAGAACATAAAAGCATGATTGTCAGACAAATCGGATAATCTGCAACTGATCTATTTATTTTTGAACTTCAATATTCTGTTGCTGGCATAGGGCTAGGAGGAATCTCGATCACAGTGATAACTGGCACAGTGAGCTTCTGGGAGAACTTCTTTAATTAACAAACGAGAGAATGGAAGTTCCCTGTGTAATTATAGTCTTGGCACTAAAGCACATTGACATATAGCAGTATATTACAGAAATTGTAGAAAATAGGACTAGATGGGACCCTGATGCTTACTTTGTCTATTCTGTTGACCAAAGGCCATATCAACTGTGTGCATCCTTCCTGGCAGGTGCTTATACAACTTGTTCTTACAAATTTCCAGTAATTAGAACTCCACAACTATCCTCAGCAATCTGTTCTACTGTGCTTGCTCAGAGATACTAGTTCCAGATGTTCAAACCAAATTTTCTGCTGTAGCAATTTTAAGCCTTTTATTCCTTGTCCTGACTATGGTGATATTGAAAATAAATTACTATTTTCATTTCTGTAGCCACTTTTTACAGAGTGGTATGTACCCCTCTTCCAGTGGCAAACTCTGTACTACTACCTTTTCCCCCTTTGTTCTTGCTTATTCAGATGTAAATGTTGCCCCTCCACACCCCTGACAATTGAAGACAAAATGTTCTTCAAAAGTGATCCAATCACCTTTAATTATTTGGTTACTTTTCCTTATTTTTCACATGATGTTCTTGTGGTCTGAAGAGCATCTAGCAGTGCGTTCATTATAGTTCAAAAGGTATTTCTCTATCCTTTGTAGAAAAAACTGTTACTGCTTTTGGTGATGATAAGGTGCCTTTCAACATAAAAACATAAAATGTGCTTGCTATTTTAGTATTCATATGCCAAAATAGGTATATAAAATAACTATTTAATCATCTTTCATTGGATGACATTGCAGGCTATGAAGTTTATTGTACATTTAATACATTACCACTTTCAAAATATTTTTCCTTCTCATTTTGGGGGTTTTGTTTTGTTTGTTTCTTCTTCTCTTCTGTTTCTTAATACAGAAGGGAAATAGGAGATTGCTTGTCATCACCAACCATTGCTTATTCTCCAACAGAATGAACTAGCATGGAGCTTCTTATAAGACTTCTTCCTAGCTTGTCGCTTTGACAGTGGAAACTGTTTTCTCTGAGGGAGTTTTCAGCAATCCTAGATAGAAAGCCTATCCTTATATCCAAGGCCATTATTGAAAATTCTCAGTACCATTCTTGCAAGACAATAATATGATATATAAAAGAATTATTACCGTTTTAATGCTCAACCAGATTTGGATTACAAATCACCCTAGCAGTTGTGTGATCATGCATTACTTCAGCTACATGATGAAATCTGTAAGTCATTGAAGAAAAATTACATGTTTTTTTCCTCTGAAAACAGATAAGTTAACTTCTTTGTAACATTGAATTTAATATATTGGGTCACATCTGCTAAAAGATTATTACACTAGAAGGAGGCAATGGATAATTTATTAAAATAACCCTGCAGGGAGATAGCAGGCTATCTGGTTAATATAGAGGAATGCTTGATGGTTACACTGAAAGCTCCCTGGTGAATCCTTTAACATCAGAGTAGAATGGGAGATGAAAATGATTGCTCGTTATATAATGTTTACTGTGTTATATTGGTGCCTAGCAGCTGAATAATATTTATGTTAACAGTTCCTTTCCAGCTTTTCATATTGATCTCCTGCTGGTCTAGAGCTGATATATAATTGTACTGAAAATGAGAAGATAATACTTTTTTGTAATGGATGGTGGCAAAAAGGTTCTTCCAACACATCACCAAAGTCAGATACGAGGCGAAAGATGTCATGTCTTTGTGCCACAGACTTGTAAGATTTTCATTCACTTTTTCTTCTGAGCTGTCTCTGTCTCTCCTCCTTGTAAACTCAAAGGAATTGTGGAAAAAGTGTCCCACAGGCAGTAAGAGTTTCTTGGTGGATGGGAAAGCTTCTTTCCTTTGCCTCGAAGGAACCTCGCTGTTGCCATGCTTAGCGAGTTTGAGAAGGACCAAATGACTCTGTCTTTCCATGAATTCTGAAAGTTAAAAGACTGGCCAATCTTAAATAAATATTTTCATTCATTCCGTAAGCACTGAGAGTTGACATTTTAGTTATGGTTTACATCATTCCTTGTATGTACAACCTCCTACTTAAAGAAGAGCAACAAACTGAGTGTTTGGTGGTGATGTCTAGCTGGAAGCCCCCTAGATCTTATACCCAAAGGAACTAATATACCTCAGTTTTCCTGCTAACAAGTGACAGTTTCATGTAGCAGCTGTGAGGTCAACCAACCTAAAAAGTTCTCAGGGACACTTGCTTTATTGGCTCCTTGGGCTGATGCTTCTGGGTTCATCCACACCTACTGTTGTGCAAGCCAGGCCTTAGAAATAGCAATGGTTTCTTGAAAAACAGAGCTTGCGTAGTTTTGGGGGGGGGGGGGGGGGGCGGGGAACCACAAAAAACCCCGACACACACAAACACAAAACCCAACAAACCTTTTGCATGTTATGGATTGTTCGTTTTAGGCCCCGTGACATTATGTCAGAAACTTGTGACCATACCTGTTAGTCACTGTAGACTCAAGGTCTGGGGTGGAGGGATCCTTGCTCTTCTTCTTTGTCATCATGTGCATGAAAATGCAGCAAAGACATTGCTTTCCTATGTAATGGATAATGTTAAGGAGTTAGCAAGACTGGAATCAGCCACAGATTGAAAGGCATTTCTACTATATTATCTATGGGAATGAACAAAAGACATGGAAACTATCTATATTATTATATTAATTTAAAAAAAAAAAAAAGAAAAGCTTCTCTTTGGTCAGTTCATTTCCATGATAACTATATTCCTTAAGTGCATTATTATGTGCTTGAGTAGAAATGCTTGATTTCAAAGCACAGGGTGCAATGAAAACCTGAAGTGTTTAGGGGAGCAAAACCAATATATTAAAATATGCTATTTGGTGGTTTATCCTGAAGAAGGAGTGAACTCCCATATGTCAGACAGGTTTTTTTCTTCTTAACTCCTTGGTAGGTAATGCCTTGGAAAATTACAGTCACTTCTATTATAAGAAGGATCAGCAGAGATATAATAATCTTAATGCACTGCTTCTTTAGTACCTTTCCTTTATAGAGCGTAATACATTTTTATATTTAAAGCTTCATACAACCTTTGTGAATAAGTAAATGGAATTTAGTAGGATAGCTTCAATCCTGCTTAAATTCTATTCCCACCCCCCTGCCCCTGAAAAGCAATAGCATCTATTTTACTGTCATACCAATGCTGCAGAATAGTTTATAAACGTAATGCAAGAAATACTCTCTCCATGCAGAGAGTGTTGAACATGATGGTGAAAGTCTGACACAGAAAGAACCAAAGGTAGTCAAGGGTTTTGTTTTTTTTTATCTCATACAGAAGCAGCTCAGACTCATGCGACCCTCCCAAGCTTGGATGGGGGTTAGTAGTGGTTTAGCATTAAACTAAGGCATTGCTCTTTCTCTGAGGTTTAATGTAGACAAAGTGATTTGTCTGCCTGGAGCTCTGTGTAGGATCAGAGTCTCGGAGAGAAAGTATCATTTAATGAATCATGAGCACAGCTTCCAGTAGCACATGGTGGCTCTTGTCATTCCTGAACAGTGAGCCCGAGGACTTGGGAAGCAGAATAAAACATGGCTGGTTACAATACCTTGTTATTCAAAATACTTGCTACGGCATTACAGCAGTCTTGTGGTGTTATGCTGTAGGGTGTTTAGGTTTAGCTTTACACATACCAGTTACAGCATTCCCTGTTTAAACTTCCACAAAAAAAAAAAAATTTTACTTCTTTTCATGCTATTAATGACTTGCTGTCCGTGGGGGGGAGGAACCAGTAATGCATAATTTAAGCAAAAATATGTTCTTCTAATTACAGTTACACACAACTAGTAGTTACTTGTATCAGCCAATATATATTTCCCTTACTTGTGTCAGAAAGTTTGGTTGTTTTTTCTAATGATATGCAGAAGCAAAGTTTAGCTATAGCAAATATGGAGAAAAGCAGTTATCTGCTGTCATGTCCTTCAGTAGTGTATCTGCATTTTTTAACAGTATACTTAATGCAACCAAATAGACATTGTTTAAGAGTGAACTGCTATGAAGTAAATAGCTGTTTAAATTGAGGCAATTTACTTCAATTTGCTTCAAACGCAATTTACTTTACACAATTTACTTCAAGACATGGTTTGCTACGTGCTGCTGCTGCTCTGCTACTCTGCGATAACTTGCTAAGCTGTGGAAAGCTGATCACTTAAAAAGGTCCTGATCAGACAGTTCAGTGTTGAACTTGTTTTCAGCAAAAAGTTGGACTACGTAAAATTGTTAGTCTCTCCTACCCTGAGTAACTATGATTTCTATCAATTCTTTTAATTGCTTTAGGCGAAGAAGTAGGCATATATAGGCACGACTTTAGAATTGCTAACATGTCCTGGTAATGATGTTTTTCATAACACTATATAAATGTAGAAAAATAACAATTCTCTTTGTTCTACCATGTCAATTGAACCATTTGGGAAAAAAAAAAAAAATCTGTGACTATAAGAGATGGAAAATGCTTTATCAAAAACTTGACTGCAAAGTTATTTGGTTTGAATGACTGAAGATTGCTTTTTTCATACTGGAGTTTGTGATTGTAGTAAGTAGGAAATCGATTTCTTTTCAGTGTATTTTGAAACTGCCTTATTTGAAAATCGTGCATTTTACTAGTCACTAGTTAAAGGTTACTCCAGACAATTGCTGTGAAATACAAAAGTAGTAATGGACTGCGTGTTTTTTTAAATCTCTTCTAGCTAAAAAGAAGAAGAAGCCAAAGCTCTTAAACAAGTTTGATAAAACTATTAAAGCTGAACTAGATGCTGCAGAAAAACTACGTAAAAAAGTAAGTTTTGAATGTTTCACTCAGGACTGTAGTCTGAACAAAAATGAATACTATAAAAATTAACTTAGGGAGAATTACTTTTAGATGACTTGCTGTGAAATTAACTTTTTAAAATTAAATCTTCAGTGCATGTTTTGCCTTCAAGTTTTGTTTCTGCTGGATAGTGTATCTTAAATTTTTTAAAGTCATAAGTGTATGTCTGTTCATGTACGTTTTCTCACCTTTAACCTTGAAAGTATTTAGCTTAACTGTTCAATTCCTGTCATCAAAAAACTTGCTTAAATTAATCACATGGAACAGAGTTAGTTCTCTCCTACCACTATTGTCCCTTTGAGTGCTGAAGTCAACTATTATCAGAGAACTTATGTTATTTAAGCATGTTAATACAGATCTCTCAGTAAGTGTTCATATGCTTCATGAGCATTAGGTGCAAATCTTGTTAGTAGTTGTTGTTTTTGTTGGAATTCTGCGTGCATCTTGTGAGTCTCTGCTCCCGTTCGGCTGCTTAGCGCACGAAGCAGATGTTCCTGCTTCTCACCAGTGGCAGCAAGATCAGTCAGTTTTGGTAGTTCTGAATTTAATGACTTGACTATGAAAAACAAACAAACCCAACAACAAAAACTCTTTGGTCATCTTCTCTGATAACTTCTAATTTTTTGCTTTTATTTGAGTGTTTCAGAAAAAAAGACCTTTGCAGAGATGTCCCATTTGCAGATATGAGATTAAATAGCGAAGCAAGACTATGTGACTGGTAGAAATGAGAGATCTTATGTCTTTTGGATGTAAAACTTGTAACAACTTTGATATGCCTCTCAGACAGTCCTAGCACATGGAGAACAACTGCAGGTCTTTTTTGTACCCTGGATTTGAGGTGGCTGAGCAATGATACACTATTTCCAGTACAGTACAATAAAAAACATTTTGGTCACTGCAGGATTAGTCTTGATTTTCAGAAGACTGTGACTGTGCTTTACGTTGCCATCTGTGCAGCCCCAGAGTTCCTGTAGGTCCGCGATGGGACTGAAGGGCTACTACATAGAGAGCACTAACCTCGGGCTGCCGCTGATGCTTTTCACTAGGAGCCTTGTTTACGTGTTAGAATACAAAAATAAAAAGCATTTTCATGCTTCTTGTTACTTAAACAATTGTTTGATCGGAGAAAGGCATAACAGAAACTTTTGGTGAGCCTGTAGCTGTTGGCTAACTCTTTTCCTGCCTGCGTGTCTGTGCATGAGTTGCAATACTGCTTGTCTTGTAGGAAGCAGGATAAATTTAGTAACATATCAGACGTATGTAATATTTGCAGATAGTAAGACAGTTGTGTATAATAATGCACTCATGTTTATGAAGCTGTAAGAGTTGGAAGTGGCAGCAAGATCTGATGCCAAATTTTGCCGAGCAGTGCTTAGCTCCTATTTAACAGGGCAGCTGGTTCTTCTCATCCATCCTTACTTGCTAGTCAGAATCAATCATCAGAATACCGCAGTTACATTCTGACTTTGTATGTGACAGGGAAGAGACACAGAGCACATGTGAGGTGTCCTGAGGGACATCATTATGCAAAACATTTGGAGGTCACAGCCATACACTGTGGATGAGTCTACAGTATTTCCTCTAACAGAACTGTAGTAGTGATACTGTTCATCGTGTGAGGTATGCAGAGAGGAAATTTCCACATGTGTCTGGAACTTCCTTTCTGTTCTCTCTTACGTTCAGTTTGGATTTTGTTATTAGCAATAGAATCTTTATGTTCTTATATAGGCAGGTTATTGTCACCTCAGCATTTTTTCCAGTCAACAAAGGGAAAGTGAGTAAAAGAGAACCGAAGGTATTAATTTTAACCATGGAAAGTAGATAATATTGTTTCATAAATAATGACAACTAATTTCTCTTTAAACAGGCAATCCCAGCAAAAATATGAGTGAAAACTGTTGATTCAGTCTGCATTTTTTTGTCTTTTGATTTTGTTTTTTAATTCGGGAAACTAATGCGTTATTAGATCAAGCATCCTTCAATGTTTTTACTAGATAGAATTGCTGATAGGCATCTGTACTTTCCAGGGAAAAGTTGAAGAAGCTCTAAGGGCCTTTGAAGCATTAGTGAATCAATATCCACAGAGTCAGTGAAAACCGTTGATTCAGTCTGCATTTTTTTTGTCTTTTGGTTTTGTTTTTTAATTCGGGAAACTAATGCGTTATTAGATCAAGCATCCTTCAATGTTTTTACTAGATAGAATTGCTGATAAGCATCTGTACTTTCCAGGGAAAAGTTGAAGAAGCTCTAAGGGCCTTTGAAGCATTAGTGAATCAATATCCACAGAGTCCTCGAGCAAGATATGGGAAAGCACAGGTACTAAAAAAAAGCCATAAATGTATAAAAGATAAAATAAACCTTTTTTAACAATAGAGTTCTAAACCTCAGTCAGACTTCATTTATAATTTTATGGATGTTTCCTAGGGAAAAAAAGAATTATGTGATCTGTCATATTGTATCTGCTGCAGCCCTATATCCTTCTCCAATTACTTCGGGAGCTTTTGTCTAACTTTAGTCTTGTATTGTAAATAACACAAAAATAAGATACATCCTATAGACCTCATGAAACCTGTCAGATGAATGGTAAGAGATAAATCCCAACTAACATTCCAGTGCAGGAACAGCAGGCAGAACTTAGCTGTTACATACTGTTTGCTGCAGCTGGTAAATCAACACATCAGTCAGCTCTGGGCTAAATGCTGCTTTTTGCTTAGTGGGAACAGGGAAGGGGATGTGGAGTTTTTACAGAGAGAGTGTTAAAGGATAAAGAGCACAAATTCTTAGGCAAGGAGGCTTAATTAGCTTTTTCTTGTGGAGCGAGTTCTGTTTCAGATGTTCACCTAAAAAAAAAAAAAAAAGGCATTGGAAAATAAGCTCTGCATTCATAATACTTTTGAGCCGTGTTGGGATGTCTCAGAAGATAATAATCCTTGCATTTTCATAAATAGTAGGATAATCCCACTGCACTAGGTGTAATAAAAAACTGCTTGAACTCCTGTTAATCAAGATAAGCAAAGTGAAACCCTCACTGTAGAAGGGAATTGTATTGTTATACAATTAATGAGGCACTTGAAATGGAGTTACAACCGGTTTTCACTTGCTTAATAATAGGCATGCTAAAACCAAAGCCATGATTATCCAAAAAACTATCACTTGATACACAGCAGACCAAATACTTCAGTGCTCTCTGTGAGGGATAGTCTGCTGAACTATTTGCTTTCTTGTGGTAGGAGACTGCTTTGATTCATGTATGGTGATGGACTTAAGTCTGTTAACTTAGGCTTTTAATATTTGCTCTTTTTATGAATCTACTCATTATATCTAAGAGAATACGCTTTCTGTCTCCTCGTTAGCTCGCTGCTTTTAGGGAGGAGGGCAGATCACTGGAGCCAGCTGTGAAGCTTATTCTCATTCAGAATTCCCCCCCAGTGTCACTTCATTCGTCCCTTTACAACAATTTGTAGCCACAACCTACTGCTTTCATTCTGCTTAGAAGGTCCTACAGACCAAGATCTGAAGCCATGATTAGCATACACTTTCTGGGAATGTATGAAACATAAATTCTTTTCCATTTCCAGTAGCCTTTGTAGGCTCATATAAGTCTTTTTACTGAACACTCATGGTAACATGACCAATCACAATTATTGAAACCAGTGTGTATAAGTTGAAGCTGTTTGAAGGAATGGGAAAATCATGGTCTTCATTGACAGGTGGATTATTCTTAGGATTCACATTGTGACATCATATTGCTTTTAAATGGGTGTTAATACCAACACAAAACATTCAAATTTGCTCTCTCTCATCACTAAGTAAAGGTGAAACTGCAGAGAAGGGTGAGGGTAAAGGCCAGGAATTCACCACAAGAGTGTACTTCTCCATTTCTATGAACCATGAACCAACATTACATGCTAATTTTGTAGATTCAATTTCTAATAAGACATGAGGATTCATTTTTCTGGATCTTTTAATAGCTTTAAAAGGAAACTGTTTTCCACAAAATTCTGCAAAAGCTTTCATAATTGGAAGTAGTTTTCAGAAACTTGAGCAATTCCCAATTTGATTTCTTGAGCTACAGTTAGGCCAGATGAAAAAATCTTTGACAGAAATTGTTAGCACCTTTAAGGCTGAAAAGAATAATAGATGGATATTAAACCTCCTTATATGATTTATAACATCTATACTGGTGAATTTATGCTGATTTTATGCTGACAATTTTTGCCTCTTGATTATATCTTTTACTATTATTTGCCCTGAAATTCCCTCAAAAAAAGGAAAAGCAAATTTCCTAGTGAATGTACATCAGAAAAATAATCAATCTCTTCAAACTGAGTTTTGAAGTTATGTCTGAAATCAACTGTTTGACTGAGTAACCATGTTGTTTGGTATTTCCCATATTTAGTTTCAAAGTAGCCGGAGGGAAAAAAGTGAAGGACAGAAGTGCAAAAAGATTCCAGCTATTAACTGTTTACTACAGCATATGCAGTTAGCACAGTTGAAGCTGTTTCAATTAATGTGTGTGTTTGATACAACAGTGAATTCAGATCGGCCAATAAGGGCTTTTGCACCCGCAGAGCTTGCGATGCACCTACACCTTGCTCTGCTAATTGACTTAGGAAAGAACGTAAGCCAATAAAGAGAGATGTATTTGGGAAGACTGCACTAAACACATGAAAACATGTGCATTTGTATAAACCATTCAAAGTAATGCTTTAAAAATTCAGCATTTGAGATAGTGTCTTTATTTTTTTCATCTGTGGAAACAAATTATGGAAATGCCATACCACAGGTGAAATCAGTATTAGCTTCCATTCACTTCACTGAAGCTGTAATTTCACAGTAGAGATTCATATATCCTTTGGTCTACTCCTGAATTTAATGAACAAATTTCAGTTCTGAAAGAGTTGTAGGGTAGATATTCTATCAATATATACAAGAGTAAAGCCAATTCCTAATTTGTTTTCTAAGAAAGAATGTAAATAAATTTGTGTCAGAATATATGAAAGAAATGTTTGGTAGTGTGTTTTGATCTGTGTGAGGATTGGTATATAAATAGTCCATAGGCAACATTTTACATTTCTTCAGTACTATTAAAACAGTTTGCTTCATTTATTTTCAAAAGCAGAAATTATGACTGCTACAAATGTTAACAAAAAAAATCTGTGTTAATGTATGTTTAGGTGCAAATTTTCTCATATTTATGCTTCCAAACAGTTTGCAGGAAACAGGAATTAACAGTAATTCTAGTCTGTCTTACTGTAAAGCAAACCCAAATAAGTTTTCTGTTGTTATGCCAAAATTATATAGATGAAAGATAATTCTAAAATTATTCCTGTTTTTTAACAATTGCATAGTTTGCCTTTTAAGAAAACAAAGTTATTTTTAAGACTAATGGATTATTGTGTTCTAACAATGGTTTTATGATTCTTTCTAGTCTGAAGATGACTTAGCTGAGAAAATGCGAAGTAATGAGATGCTGCAAAAAGCCATCAACACCTATGATGAGGTGGTTAGTCTGCCAAATGTCCCTTCAGATCTAATAAAACTGAGCTTGAAACGAGAAGCAGACCGGCAGCAGTTTCTTGGTAAGATTTGAGAATGGTGCAAAAATTATGAAAGTTGTGTGAGCAAGACTTTCAAAAGATCACTAAGGATGATCTTAGCGCCAATTCCATTGAATTTTCAATAGGAGTTGTGTTCCTAATCTCTTATATGCTTATGAAAAATATTTTTAAATTCTTTCAAATTTTTTGAGGTAACTAGTGTATATATTTGTATGATAGTAGTGCCTGTAGACAACAGTGCACTAGGTGCTATGAAAAGCTATGATGAGAGATGGTCAAAAAATTTTTATTGACAGAGAAAGAAGAAAATGTTGTTCTTTTTCTACTGAAGCTGAGGGAAATCATGAGGAAATTAATGGCATACACAGAGTAAACATACCCAGAATAAACTTTCAGTAAACATAGAGAAGAAAGGAATTGAACTCAGGGATAACATCTGAAAGCTTAGATTTCGATTCTGTGGTGTATGAGAAGTGCTGATTAGAATATGTCAGCTTTGGTGGAGAAGAGAGTTCTATTCCCATGGGTTGGATTTTAATATCAGCTTGTTTTGATCTTGCCGTTTCTCAGCCAGACCTCATCTAGGAAGCCAAGAAATGTACATAATTTTAAGCACATAAAGCATGATTAATTTCCTAATGGAAATATAGTGGAACTATTGGTTAACTCTAGAAACGCATTTAATTACTTAATCAATTAAGACTAAGTTTATTTTCATGCGTTTACCTAGTTTTGTTGAATGCTTTGACATCCACGTATGAAAGAGCAACCAAAGCTTAAATAACGTTAGTGCTACACTGTGAACGGCTCTCCACTAGAGGCTACCATAACACTGCACATCATTTGCAGTGATTTCCTGAAATATTCCTTGTACGGCTACACCCCCCGTGACAACCAAGCAACTGAATATGCTTCTATCTGCACAAGGCTTTTTTCAGGTTCTGCTTCTTGATCTTTAGTGAAAGTGGAACATCTGGCTCTGATTTGTGTTTTCTTAGACATTGTGTAAGGATCTTGCTACTGTTACTTAGATCTGTAATTGTAATTAACTGTTGTTCCATCAAATTAGGTCGCATGAGAGGTTCCCTGATTACTCTACAGAAATTAGTTCAGCTTTTTCCCAGTGATACTTCATTCAAGAATGACCTTGGTGTTGGTTACCTCTTGATAGGAGATAACAGCAATGCCAAGAAAGTATATGAAGAGGTGAGCTTCCATTCTGGCCACGGAAAAAAAATTATTTGCATTCATATGTTCATTCTAAAGATTGCCTGCTTTTAACTTTTTTAGTCGTTAAACGTTTTGCATGTCTGGTTTTGAAGGGTTAATATAGATATGATTTTTTTTTCTAGTGCAGTTCTTAATTATCTTCTCATTTTAATTCAGATTTCCTGGTACTGTCATGCTAAATGTTCTTCCTCACAGACAGAGAAATGCAGGTGTTTTTCGAATGCTTAATAATATTTTGTTTCTTATGCCTTCTGGTAGCCAGGTTTGGAATATATTGACAACACATAGATGTAATGCATAGTATAAAAAAAAGATATCTTATCTGCCAGACATGGAAAGCAGAAGTAAGCCTGTTTCTTTACAGGTACGCCATCTCTAACCATGTGATGAAGAATTCAGTTACTCAACTTACATAGCTATTTAACCTTTGTTTTTTCATTATTTTTGTAGGCAGCCTAAATTCTGTTTTTCTTTCATGACGCTTGTAGTGCGCACAGTTCATTGGATTTACATTGCTATCTTATATATGGTTATCAAGCTAGGTGAAGTTCACTGCCAGGAAGGTCCACTCTGCTCCTGTGATCTAGAAACTCCGTTAACATCTGGAAATTCTGACAGAGGTAGAGCTTGATGTCACTGGTAGAGCATAAGCTGTCAGCACCCAATCAGAGATGGTCTTGTTGATGTTGGCATGCTTGTTGCAGTCCTTGTTTAATACAGGCGTAGTATAGTAATTGGTTACGTAGACTGAGGACAAGTCTCCGTGATCAGTACCACCTCCTGAGAATAAAGGGCCAGTTTTCCATCCTCCACATCTGGAATTCTGAAGGGATTTTCATCTCAGGTGGTTCCTCAAAGATAAGGAGGATGTTCAACCGCATGATTGGAAGCAGGAACTGAACCCTGATAATACCATTCTTTTCTCAAGCTCCTCTGGTAGTCTCAGATGTTGCCAGAATAATGTTTGCTTTGCTACTTTGGCTGCTTTGTAGGTCCCTCCATAAAACATTTCCGTTCAATAATTTTTGGCCTGCTGTCAAAATTTCTCAGAGGATTGGAAACATCAGCTTTTAAAGACAGAATATATTGACTGAACGGGCTTCTCAAGCTGTAAGGAACTTGAAGAAACAAAAACATTCTCCTTTCGGGGAAGATTTTCCTTTGGAATCTCGGTATTTTGCTGCAAACAATTTAGATGTTAGAATTTCTTAATATCAATAATCACAGGACTTTTTATAAATGGATGAAGATAATGAATTTGCTATATAATTACTTTGATACTGAGTTTGATAGACTTTAAAAGAAGAGTATACTGCTCTGATTAAGAGAGTTTTGTACGTACAGCTGTAGTGTAGTTTAACTGATACAAAATACACTTTTCTGTTATGCATTTACCAGACTTTGTGCTGAGCCACAAATGGAAAATGATGTCCAATTGGAGAGGATTTCAGTTTTGCCTAAAATTAGTATTTTCTTTTGAATATTACACTTAGGGACATAGAATCTTAACATTAAAAGTAGTCCTAGTAGAATTCAGAGCTATTTTTATTTTCAAAGAAAACATAATGTTATATGTAGTCCTAGTAGAATTTAGAGCTATTTTTGTTTTCAAAGATCTACAGATTATGATTAAATACAGTGGAAGAGACCTTTATAAGACCAGTTACTCTGCGAATAGCACTTTTTCTGCCTGCCATGCTGAGGCATGTCTGCATGGCTCAGTGCAGCATTATACAGGCACGCACAAGCCAGCTCTGATTGAGCTATATCAGGTACCAAAAGCAGAGTATCCACATTAACACAGTACTCTGCCCTGGCTAATTAACCATTGATAGCCCCAGAGGTTAATTTCTATATTCATGATTAATATTTAATGGGCTATGAGCAGTTTAGTAAAACTTATTTCTAAACATAATTAATATTGCATGCAGCAACAGCAACAGAGTAATACAATTTACATTAAATACTTCCAGTGTAATTTCTGCTGATTGTATCTCTTCGCTTCTCTTTAGGGGCTCTGAATGTAGATCATGCCTTTGTGCAACTCGGCATAGTTTAAATCAACTGTAATACAGAAAATTCTATTTTGTCTTAATTAATCAGATAGCTTTATCCTATAGTTAAACTGTAACAAAATTATATGGCTAAGAAATATTTCTGTCAGTCATTTTATTTTACCCTGCAGGTACAGATTCTTGGATCATAGAATCAGAGTCGGTTTGGTTGGAAAAGACCCTTAAGATCAATGGGTCCAACTGTAAACTTAACACTGACAAGTCCACCACTAAACCATGTCCCTAAGCACCACATCTACATGTCTTTTCAATACTTCCAGGGATGGTGACTCAACCACTTCCCTGGGCAGCCTGTTCCAATGCTTGACAACCCTTGCAGTGAAGAAATTTTTCCTAATATCCAATCTAATAATCTGTGCCCCCCCGGCACAACTTGAGGACATTTCCTCTCATCCTATCACTTGTTACTTGGGAGAAGAGACCAGCACCCACCTAACCACAACCTCCTTTCAAGTAGTTGTAGAGAGCGATAAGGTCTCCCCTTAGCCTCCTCGTATCCAGGCTAAACAACCCTGGTTCCCTCAGCCGCTCCTCATAAGACTTGTGCTCCAGACCCTTCACCAGCTTCGTTATGCTTCTCTGGACACGCTCCAGCCCCTCAATGTCCTTCTGGTAGTGAGGGGCCCAAAACTGAACACTGCACTCGAACTGCGGCCGCACCAGGGCCAAGTACAGGGGGACAATCACTTCCCTAGTCCTGCTGGCCATGCTGTTTCTGATACAACCCAGGATGCTGTTGGCCTTCTTGGCCACCTGGGCACACTGCTGGCTCATATTCAGCCAGCTGCAGACCAACACCCCCAGGTCCTTTTCTGCTGGGCAGCTTTCCAGCCACTCTTCCCATTCTTTCAAAATGGTTATATGCAGAATGCTGTAGTCAAAAAGTATAGGATGCATAAGATGGTAGTGTATTCTTATACTAGGGATCAAGGTCATCCTTACTATGAATTGGCAGGTTCAATTTTTGCTAATAATGTGTCATATTATGGACTTCAGATTGATTTTCAAATTGACTGTTCCTTCATAGTACCTCTTTTCTGCAAAAATAAGTGAAATGCTGCTGGTTTTAACTCATAACATTTTATACCCACTTTGTGCTGATTTTGGTTGTGCTTGGATGTAGTTTGTATGTAATAAGATTTGAGAAAGCAGAGGAATTTGCCCAGAGGACTTGTTGTGGTTTTGCTTGTAATTATTTCAATTGAAAAATTAGGTTAGACAGTGACTGGAAAAGACAGAGGGAAATAACTATAATGTATGCAGACATTTTATCCATGGCATAAATTTAGTAGCTTCAAAAATGGATTTAGGCAAGAGAAATTGCTCATCTGTCCATTGTTTTGTATTTAGCAGCTGTGCTAGACATTCAGCAGGTATCAGTCTCTCTAATTCCACTGACTGCCAGGCTCTTGTGATGATCCTCACAGACTGAGGATCTGTCCTGATAAGACCGTCCACCCTTATTTTAAGGAGAGAAGAGGTGCAACAACAGATTAACTTGACTGTGTAATTGACATCACATAGAGTTACAAATGATATTGAATATATACATCATAGAAACATGAAGTTGGAAAGCACATCAAGACATTCTCTAATATTCCCGTTGGCTGAGGCAGACCAAATGCACTTAAATTGTCTCAGTAATGTTGGGGGTATATGTATCAGAAGTCAGACCACCCAGCTTCACACCTCCTTTCCCTGAAACGTTGCACTGTATGCTGATCCTTTCCTGCACCTGTCCCTGTACTCACAAATCTTTCTCTTGCACAGTCCCCATGAAATACCCATCTCCAGATATTTGCCTATAGATTTTTCCTTTCCTGCAAAATTAAATCAGGATGTAAGTCAGACATTATCTGAATCTTTTTCAGGATACAAAATTGCTTTACTTAATTCAGCATGCTGCGTCTTAGTCTTAGTCAAAAAGTGCAGCACACAACTATACAAGAATAATTTATCCACCACCTTCTAGTGTGAAAGCACATCGAATCACTATTGCATTAGACCTGCGTTACCATCTGCTAGCTTTCTTTTGGCCAAGCAAGTGTAAGCTCTTGCAGAGGGTGCTCCAGTTCACCATAGTGCTGAGAATGCCCTTTGAGTTCCCAGGGTCTACGCAGTCCCATTATGTGATGCAAGCATTATCTTACAGCGTCTTTCTCAATTGTACTTGCTGTGCTTCGCAGCATAGTATGTTTTCTCTTGTCAAGACTAGTTTACTACCAGTATAAACCTATTTAACTTTAAACTATTTCAGGTATATTTCTAGACTACACTTCCCGTGACTGTGTTGTAGACGTGTTCAGAAGCAGCTGCTTTCTTTCATATTAGTCAAACCTGGGATATGTAACTTAAGTGTTAAGGAATGGTGTTAATTCCGTAATGTAGCATGCTGTAACTCAAGAGAGAAGGTGGAGAAAGATGGACAACAAAAAAGTAATGTAATTCAGCGATTTTAGTTGGAATAATTTTACTTCTGAGACTTTAAAGTTTGGCTTGTAATAGATTTTTCTGGAGAAGCACAAAAGTGAATGGGGAAAAGAAAGTACAGCCAAGCCAAGAATTTATCTGAGAATCAGCAATGGAAGAAAATGTCATTGCATCACTAAATAGTAACATGTGCACAGGTTTGTTAATTTGCATAGATCCATATATGACTATTTAATTTATTTGCTCTCAAACAGGTTCTAAGCCTGGCTCCAAACGATGGCTTTGCGAAAGTACATTATGGCTTCATCCTGAAGGCAGAAAACAAGATAGCAGAGAGCATACCCTATCTAAAGGTATTTTTCTTTTCTCACTTACAGTAAAAATTTTACCTGTAAAAAAAAAAAAAAATCTGAATGTATAAAACATGTCAAGGTGGAAGTATCCTAATCACAAATCACAATTTAAGCTACGTGTTGGAGTTATATTGCTATATCACTACCTATGAACTAGAACAAGCTTGTACCAATATTGAGACTCATCAATTCTTAAACACCAAGTATTTGTTTTATTAGTGGTTAACCCTAAGTACACAGCTGTGAGTGTCCAATTGTTTTGAGTTTCGCAGTATGCTGCAAACTTGAAAAATCCAGAGAGGGCTTGCGTATACTTCTGAGTGTTTGGGAAGAAATACTACAAAATTAAACTTTAATCCAGCTTTCTAAAATGCTTGTGTATGCATATATGTATATAGGGTCAGGGGCAAGTGTCCATTTCTGAAGACACCTCTGTCTTGGAGGGTCTGAGGGGAGAGGCCATGGCATTTGGAAAACTGATAACATTTCTCAATGTCTTTTTATTGAAGTGTTGTATTCATTCAGCTTAGGTTCCGGGTTACCATGATGGTTATATTTTATAGCCAATCTCATAGCCTGTCTCTTGCATAGAATTGACAGCCTATTTACAGCAATCAAATGAATTCCTTTAGAAGTTCTACTGAAGTTTCTCTTATACTTTTTTTTTTTTTAGGAAGGATTAGAGTCTGGTGACCCTGGCACAAATGATGGACGCTTTTATTTTCATCTAGGTGATGCCTTGCAGAGAATGGGAGACAAAGAGGTACGCATTTAACGTGTTCTTGCTTTAAAGTCTAAAGCTCTGATGAACTGCAGAATCACGAAAAACTTCTAAGCACAGGCTCAATGTTGAAAACATGAGTAGTCCTATTGCAATAACAATCCAGCATATGTGTGTAGAGGTCAAGATAAGCAACAGCAAAAAATCTGCCATTGATGTGACAATGCAATCTCCTAGCATCCCTTGCTTTAGAACTAACCTAAACTTCTGAAGCTTGCATGGGGCAGTTTGAACTGAGGGACCAAACATTTTTCAAATATTCAGTGAAGGTGTTTTTAGAGTCTGTTTCCTGCTCCTACCACTTAACTCTGGTTAAAATCTTTGTTGTAAAAAAAAAAAAAAAAAATTACCTGTATATCACTGCATAGAAGTTCTCTCATAGCTCTGATATAGCAGTATTTTGTAAACCTCACTTCTTTCCCAAAATGACCTTGGGCACCAATGAATATGCGATAAAAGACAACCATGAGCGGGCTGAATGTGGGCTGAGTTATGATATTTGTTCAATAATTAAAGTAGCATACATCAGAAAAACAGAGATTTGCACAACAAATCTGTTGCATGTCTAACAAAAGGAAACCTGTGTGACTGACAACCATAAGGGTTTCTGATTTGTTAATTTAAAACAATATTTAATATAAAAGCCAAATTTAAATGTGTGAGTTAGCACTATTGACATGGTAGGGGAGCAAAGGGCTTTTGTTGAAGACTGGTATTAGTAATGAACTTTACTATGGGCATGAAGTTAAAAACAAACCCAAAAAAAACAAACTAAAAAACTCTCCTCAGGTTCCAGGATGGGAATTGTGAAAAGAATAAGAATAAAAAAGCATAGTGGAACTGCTTTTTAATCAATTATCTAGTAATAAGTCTGAAATATTGATACCTAAAATACTGTAAAGAATGCTGATGACCTGAGTATCTTGGCCCAGTTGGTAGGTAGCTTTCCCATATGAACTATAGACAGGTAGACTATAATGAAGCCTATATGTTATTCATTTTTCTTAAGCCTATTTCATCAGATTTTTTTTTTTTTTTAAATTGTGGAACTTTTATTACAATATCTTATACCTACATTGAAATGTAATAATATCTTTATCTTTTAAGATAGATTGCTTTCTCTGAAAGTACAGTAAAATATTCTTCCAGTGAAATTTTTTTAAATTTAAAAGTTCATTTACAAGTGAGAATTAGTTGGCTTCATTGTATAGGTAAACACACACACATCATCTGCTTGCACGTTCACTTTCTCTCTGTCTGACTCTGTCCTTCTCTCAAGAGAAAACCAAAAACGAAATCCCTGTATGCTTCTGTGGGATATTCTAGATTGAATGATTGAGCCTAGAGCATCCCATTACAATGTTTTACTAAAGATACTACACAGATGTAATTAATGTTTATCATCCCAATCCCCGGGATAATTATGTGTTAAATGTCTGTGGAATTAGTGGTCAAATCTGCTGTAGAAAAGGTTTTGATCAATGGCAAATGAACCTCTTGGCATAGAGGAGACTTTTAAATTTATCAGTGGAAAGTCCACTGTTAAGCTAAATTTTTCTGACTTACCTTGCTAGACTTGCTGAACTTCATGATTTAGTCAAGGAAACAGATCAATATTTAAGGAACATGTGAAAGTGCTATCACTGAAGGTTTGTTGAAGGTAGATGTTCATCTGTTAGAACTAAATTAGGAATCATGAATGTGATCTTGGTATGTGTTAGGGAAATAGTGTTGAGTATGCCTTTTCCAACTATAATTTGATAAAATGCCAAATTGACTTAAAAAAAGATAAATTAGAACTGTGTAAGGTATTACAAAACAAAGTGCTGTTCACACAGAATGTATAAACTGAGCGCATCTCAAACAATTACTTTTCCGGAAAAGAAGCTATACTGTTGTGGCTGTCCTGAATAGTGCAGTAGTCATTATTTAGTCTTTCCACTGCCAAAATATGCAGGAGAAAAGAAAGATTTCTCATGGAAACCCAGGACTGGAAAGGGTAAGTGAGGCAACCTGACCCTACTTAATGCTGTCAAAGGCAACCTCGTAGCACAATTCTTCTAATAGATAAGGATTAACAGTATTACACATCGTGATTATAGCTGATGGATCTTAAAAAGCAGCAACATTCATACTCATCTGTCAGCGGCTGAAACAAGGAATTCATCCCCCTTATCATTTGGGCTGACTCCAGACATTGCAAATGAATGCAGGCAGGCAGCGTGAACAATCTATTGATATCCCACTGCTATTAAAACTTACATCTTGTGGAACATACGTTATAAATCATAATGCTTCTGTTTCAGAGACTTAACCAAGATAACATCAAAATTTAAAGATAAACTGTGTATTACCCAAAGGCAATACATAATTTTAAAATTTTTTTTGGACCCATATGCAATTTTAAAAAGCTTCTTTAGGGAAAAGAGATTAAAACTTACATATGATCTGCTGTTATTCCTTTCATCCACATTGTTTTTCTGTACTTCAGATAAATACTGTACGGCAACATTCTATTGTAGCCTTTCCTCCATACTTTAAGAGAGTTACAAAGATCAGAGTACCACATTTTTTTAAACCTTGAAGAAAATTTACATACAAAAATAACCTATGGTTACAATGTAGAGACATATGTAAAAATTTGAAGACAACACCACCCCAAGTCATATGAGACCTCAGATCTGAAATAAAAGATCTCTAAGATGGCACCTGGAAATTTTTGGAAATAATCCATAACATGAAGAATATCCAGTAGCTTTTTGTTTTCTTGACTGACTGACTGCTAAGACTAAGTCTAAGCCACACACTGTTCTCATGGCTGATATGTATCCAAAAAAGTTTTGTTTTTTCTTCTAGTTTACTGACTTCAAGGTAATCGTGAATAATAAGCTGACATGAATTGCTCTCCTAGGGATGTGTGTGTTTGATTGTATATTTTGCTTTCCATTAGACCCCATACGTAAAATGATTCTTCTTTAGCTTAAGAGTTAGTACTGTGGGTTTTATCTCAGTAAGTCTTGTTTTAGCCTTCATGTCAAATGTGGACAGATTAATGGACAACTGTCATATGCTCATGAGTTAGAATAGGATAAACGACTCTCTTTGAAAAGCAAATAACAATTAAAATAGTTAGTGATGCAGGGAAACTACCATACCAGAATGCTAGTGGGGACAGTGTTCTTCTTGTCCAGATGTCGTGGTTTAACCCCAGGCGGCAGCTGAGCAGCACGCAGCTGCTTGCTCACTCCCCCCATCAGGATGGGGGAGCAAGTTGGAAGGGTAAAAGTGAGAAAACTCGTGGGTTGAGATAAAGGCAGTTTAATAGGCAAAGCAAAAGCGGCATGCACAAGCAAAGAAAGACAAGGAATTCATTCCGCACTTCCCGTGGGCAGGCAGGTGTTCAGCCATCTCCAGGAAAGCAGGGTCCATCACACATAACGGTGACTTGGGAAGACAACCGCCATCACTCTGAACATCCCCCCTCTTCCTCCTTCTTCCCCCAGCTTGATATGCTGATCATGACATCATATGGTATGGAATATCCCTTTGGTCAGTTGGGGTCAGCTGTCCCAGCTGTGTCCCCTCCCAACGCCTTGTGCACCCCCAGCCTGCTCGCTGATGAGGTGGGGTGAGAAGCAGAAGAGGCCTTGGCTCTGTGCGAGCACTGCTCAGCAGTAACGAAAACATCCCTGTGTGTGTTATCAACACTGTTTTTGGCACAAATCCAAAACACAGCCCCATACTTGCTACTATGAAGAAAATTAACTCTATCCCAGTCAAAACCAGCACATCAGGTTTTCCGTACCCCTGCTGGAAAGAAAAGTGAAGGGTTTGGTTTTTTGAGGAGAACTTGACAAGGAGGTGGGTACAGCCAGGAAAGGTGGCTAATTGTGAGGTGTAGGGGGGATATTATTAACTGGAAGCACAAGGGTGAAATTATAGGCTGTTTTATGTAGAGTGAGATAAGAATAAATATCAGGTTAGGTGAAGGAGTGTGAGAACATGGTCCAGGTTTGGATGAGTGACACTTAGATGTGAATTGTATAGGTTGCAGGCTTGGGAGGGAGCAAATTTCAAGCAGTGTAGCTTGTAGAGGACTCTGTACATGACTCCAAGTAAAGAGATTTTTGGACAGTTTGTGTTCAAGGCAGGGATTGCTGCCTGCTTCAGTCCCTTTGCTCTGGACTTCTTACCTCATATCTCCCCACTTAGCTGTCCTGTTGTATCCTTTCTTTTTCTTTTTCTTTTTTTTCTTTTTTTTTTTTTTTTGTGTTGTCTAAAGTATCACAGCTGTAGCAGCAATGCTGGACAGGAAGGAGGCAGCTATATGTAGCCTTCTCTATATATGGTTCATCACAGTGCTACTCATGCTGGATCTTTTCTTTCCAAGCATATAATTTTCTTCTTCTGCACCACCTTGTTTTGCTGCTGTACAGTGGTAAAGCAAGCTATGGAAAAGGAGAGTAAGTCAAACAAAGGTCTGGTGTTAGGCTCAGAAGGTTTCTACCATGTGAAATAAAGGGAAGGAGTAAGAAAAATTAGTAGCATCAGCTCAGTTCTGATGTGGCAACAAATATTTGAAGAACCTCAAGTGCATTTATGTATTAGATAATTCTGTAACGATTTAAAGCCACAAAGTCAGCACTGTTTTCATCATCACAATATCTCCATTGGCAGCAGAAGGCAGTCATCTTTAATTCATAGGTAGAAAATTGAAACATAGAGAAAGTAAGGTTGACCAAGATGACAAACAATTGGATCTCCCAAGTCCAAGGACAGTGCCTAGGTTACTGACCCATATTTGGTGTGAATGGTTGTAGAAGATTATCCTGGTTTGCTAATGTTGGATTGGACAGCCTTGGCCCACTGATCTATTTTGAGATTGTTAGTTGAGTTTTGGGGGGTTGGTTTGTTGTTTGTTTGTTTGTTTGTTTTCTTTAAAGTGTTCATTATTACATTACATTAGAAGAATAACCCCGGCATCCAAAGAGACAGTCTGTTACCTTACCAAAAAAGCATAAGTTACTTTTTTCCATGGGAGCTTGGCTCATATGAATTTGGTTGTTAACAACTGCAATCTTTTAGGCCTACAAGTGGTATGAACTGGGATACCAAAGAGGTCACTTTGCATCAGTTTGGCAGCGCTCCCTCTACAATGTCAAGGGACTGAAAGCTCAGCCTTGGTGGACAGCAAGGGAAACTGGTTATACCGAACTGGTGAAGGTAAGGCAGCTTGCTTCTGTATGCTTTGATTTTATTTTTCTTAATAACAACTATAAACTAAGGTATTAAGCAGAGAAAATTCTAATCTATGAAGTCTGAATAACTGCCTGTGAGTACCAGGCACCAATCTCAGACTAAGCACAAGATTTAACTACAATACTATAAAATGAGCTCAGACATTTTCAAAATTGAGAATGGGGACAGGATGGCTGGAATGATTAATAAATACAAAATTCGCATGGTAGACAGCCATAATGTCTCAAGTGCAAAATGACAGCAAACTTTGGTAATGTCTGGGACACCCACTGTGAATTTTTAATTAGCCAGGAAAGGCTGTGTCCTTCTTCCCTTGTGTAATATTTTGTGGCTGCTTTAGAAGCTTTTAATTGCGTAAGAAAAACGAGCGTAGACTCCCAGTGATAGATTTATCAAAAGATAACCACATAGAATTTAACTTCTTTAAAATTCTTTTTTATTTAATGTAACCAGACAAGTAGTCTGGTTATTATTTATAGTAATAGCTTGTGTTTCCAACATAGCATAATTTTTTTAATTTTTTTTAATCTTAATTCTTAAACAAAACAAAAAAAACCCACACAAAAACCCCCAGCACCAAAAAAATAACAGCAACCAAAATGAGGGGGAGAACCCTTTTTTCCCTGGATGTAAAAAACATTATTTCCCCATTCCACAGAGCAAAAACCAAACAGCAGTTATTTCTTGCTGCTTCATCTTGTTAGGTTCCTCTTACATCTGTCCAGGATATGTGGGAAATGCTACCAAATCCCAGTGATAGTATATGACATGGAAAACTGCAGTATGAAGGGTAAAGCACTGGAGTCTCTGACCCTCTCTCCCTGTGTTTCACCACTTGTTTTTTAAAGGTGAACAAGCAATTTTCAATATCTTGGTAGCTTAACAATGCCAGCTGAGGATTTATTTGTGGCTACCTGAGAGTGCTACAGCCAGACTGGCAGCTCTTTTCGGTTCATTCTACTAACCCAGCACAGCTGTGGTCCGTAGCATCTCATAGCACGGATCTGGCTTGGTTTTGTTATAAAGGGTCACATGGTTTCTTGAGACAAGAGATGTGAATTTTGACAGTGCCTTGCTTTTTCCACAGAAAACCTGAAGAAAAAAAAAAGATGTCTCTTTTTCAGTACTCCCAGTTTAATAAATTCCTTCTGAGGGGCTTTCAGCTCACCTGACTGTAGCCATGCAGACGCAAGGCATATTGTCCATGGTAGTGGTCTAGTCTACAGGTCAAGAAAGGTATTTCCAGAGGGTGATGAATTTTTACTATGTTAAATAACTATCTAAGGATGGTCTGTCTCTGCTTTCTGGTGTTAACTTTCCTACTGCTTTACTGAAAAAAGAAGCCTAGACAATTAATTTAGGCCTGATGTTTAACTGCCTGATGGCTAAGATTAAAGATAATGTCATAGTTTAGTTACTTCATTATTACCTACTTGCCTGGATGTCTTAAGGAAGAGGGGTTTTTTAGGTTGTTGGGTTTGGTTTTGTTGTTTTTTTTTTTTAAAAAGACTGAGAATATCTCAATAACACTTAACAGGACATCTATTATGGTGGTAAATCCTGGTTAGTGCTGCTGTGCCAATGGGAAGTGGATCTTTCGATCTCTTTAGCTGCTGCCCATTAATGCTTAAGTTTTTTCTAGTTTCCTTGAAAGAATAGGAAGGGGTACGTGATTTCTCAGGGAGAAGAAAATTTAAGCCTTTAAATTAGGAAGAGTATGTCAAGTGATTTATGTAGAAATGTTCTGTTACTGTTTCTGATCTGCAGTATTTCAGGCCGTTGGATCTGGAGTTTCAAGAAACTCTTTCTTGCTTGAGCTCAACTGAAAAGAAACCTTACTTTTATCTTTGAAAACCTGTCACCCTCCTTTGGGGCAATTAACTTTCCATGGATGGTCTTACTGAGTCATCGCGTCATTCTCTGGTACCTTTTACAGAACCTCAGTATAGCATTATTCTTCTGTTCTGGTGCTTGTTTAAAAAAATAATAGAAGAGGTACAAAGCTATTGGATCCTACAGACTTTTCACCAGTCTTAAACTAAGATGTAGGTAATGGCCTAGGTAACTTTGTCCTTTCCTCATGTTGTGTCCATTGGCTTTTGGAAAGGACTCAGAGGATGCTTTGCCAATAATGTATTACAATGAATAGCTGATTGACTAAAGTAGATCTTGTATTGTCAGTTTTCTCTGATGGCTTAGATTTTATTAATTAAAAGTTTAAAGTGCAGCAAGAAAAGTGCAGAAAGAGAATGAAAGTACTGGCAACAGCACATATCCATAACGTGTTCTGTAGAGTGACAGCTAGGGCTTTATGGTTTAGCTAATAATAGCTAAACGTTCACATTTAATGGATAAATTAAGTTGAAATATGTTTAAGTGTGGCTAAATGCTGTATAGGCAGCCTTGTGTTGAAAAGAGCAGAGATGGTGCATACGCAAGCACTCTGTGTGACCTAATGGGTGCAAGGAATCTATGTTGAAAGGTTTAAAATATTGTGCCTTACTTGGAGGTCATCAGCATTCCCCAGCAGAGACACGGTAACTGTGAATGCTTTCCTACTCTCTTTCAGTAACAAAGTGAAATAGATTGAAGTCTTCACCATGATTTTATTTTATAGTCCAATGGATTAAAATGGATGTGTGGTCAGTAGTTATGCCTCACGTGAGGGGTAGTAACCTCTTAATCTCTGCCTGTGTCATTTATGACCATGCATTTGAAAGGGTTTGACAGCACAGAGTAAGTATTCTTTTAATGTAATAGTCACATGTAAAAATAAACGGATATTAAGAAATGCCTATTTAAATATAGTAACGTCTTTGCCAATAAAATCTACACTATTACCAGATGTAAAGCAGCTGTAAACTTCCATTATTGTTAGGAACTGTATTTAAAAAGCCATATGGAGGTTTATGGGAATCAGCTGCTAGGAAACAAGTACATATGCTCCCAATGCTGTTTGCCACCTGATGCTTCACTTGGAATCAGGATATTGCACCTAATACAGTATGATTTTGTTGCTTTAATCTGAGGCTTGAATCCTACATTTTATGGAGCATAAGCATATTTAACTTTTTTCTGTAGATACCAGCTCTTGGATCAAGAGCCTTAAGTCCAAGTCCTGGACTTAGTCATCATGTTTTTAATGTTATGTGTTCTTACCATTCAAGCTATGCCTAAGAGTCTGTAAAATAAGGGAGATCAAGGCTGAGCTGTGTTTGAACTACTGTAACTCTCCACTTCCTTTCTACCTAGGAGTTGCCTGTTAGTCATAGTAAAGCATTGTCAGTGTCTTTTCTAGATGGGATCCAGATTTTTAGGAGTATAGAGACACTATGGATTTCAGTGCAAGTTATGTCTAAAACCATTGAGGAGCTAGTTCAAAATCAATGATATCTATTCCAATCACTTCATATCCGACATGTTAGCGAAGGAGTCTTAAAAGGCAAGGACAAGCACACACCTTTGGAGATTAACTTTCATCCTGTGGCACTTGTGAAGGGTTAGAGGTGACAAAGTAGCTGTTGCCTGCAACTCCTTGGACATCATTGCTCTTCATGCATCATCTTGTCTGCATGGGTGAATGCTCCCTCTTACCTTTTTGCAGACGAGGGAGTAGGGAGAGTTTGAGGAAACACAGAAGCATTCATAATATCTTTTAAAGTTTTCCAGTTTTGTTGATCTGTATCACTTTGTGGCCTGTGTAAGTGTAATTTATTCTTTTCTTTCTCTTCTCCAGCCAGTGTAAAATCATGTACTCAGGCTGGTGTTTCCTTTTGTAGATTTGGTACCACTGAATCAGTAACAGCACTGTTCCCATATTTATCTCTGATTTTCAGTCTTGTTTTGTACCCTGCATTTTGGAAAAGTCAGTTTTCTAAAGATATTCTAAAAAACATTTCTACTTAATGTTAACAGTTAAACGAGTGTTATGGAAACCCATCAGTGGGAGAGAATAAGGTGAATGCACCAGGAAAGATGATAAGTGCTCTTCCCCTTTACTGATGGATGAGAGAGAAAACAATTTGCTAGGAAGAAGAAGAGAGTACTGTACTAACAGAAGTGCAAACCTAATTTTCATAGGTTGGGGCCTATCTAAAAATGTTATGGTGGGAGAAAGTCGCTGTATTATAGACAGCATGTTCTAGCCATGGCTTGCTGAGCCTTTTATGATATATCAACGTACAACCTATTTTGTGTGATCAGCTTGTCTTTTAATTGAAAAAACTCAAGTGGAAAATGCAACTGTTTAATTTAAATGGGGAAGACTAATAACCACATAGAGTTTTAAGGCTAAAAAGGGGCAGATATATCACCTAGTCCTACAGACTTTTGAGTTTTACTTGGCTTTACACATCATATAAAGTAGTAGAGTGGGAACACACTTTAGCCCATTTTCAGTATGAAATTGATTGAAAATGTCTTACAGAAATGCTTTGTTCAAGAGCACAAAGGAAAAATGGAAACTATTCACCCAAAATAAGGTTTAGCGAGTAAAGTAAGCAGCTGGGAAATAGAAGTCACTTTTATCCAGGTCCATTGTTACGCTGTGGGTTTTTCATTTATATTGCTATAACATTAAAATTACTTATTGCTAGAATAAAAGGTTTTCTGATCTATCAGATTTTTACAAATATAATGTCCTAAGGCAGCAGAGAATAGAATTTTTTAATTCTACAATCTTGTGGTTTTGGTATGTGTGAAGTACAAGCAGCTTACACCTATTTAATGGTTGTGTCCATAAATCATCACCTCTATTTTAAGTCGTATTTGATCTTTTTCAATAGCATCAGCATGTGCAAGTGAATCTTTGCAAACCTTTTTGAAGGTTTAAATCATAACTGTCGACTTAAGTGGCCTGTTTACATTTGTACTCTTTGAACCGTGATGTTCTGCCAAGGCCTGGAGTTCCAGGTTATGCGAGTGGTTTTCTAGTGGCAGGAGTGCTTCCAGGTAACATGTGCTGTCTTTAAGAACATCAATTCTCTTCCTAGCTTGAAATACAAAATTATTTGTTAAAGACCCCTTAGGCTAATCAAAAAGCAAGTCAAAGTGAGGCCTAGTCTGCAAGGAGGCTGGGGATTATTGAAATTTTATGATCCCATTGTAATTGAATCTGAGGAATGCTGTGAAAGTTGTTTTTCTTGCCTTAACATGTCAGAAGGGAATCGAATATAAAGAAACTTGATAATGATGATGAACACTTTTTTTAGTGCTTTTAAATTTTAAAAAAAAAAGTTACTAATGGCAGGGGAAAATAAAAGCAGTACTAAAGCTAAACGCAGTAAGTTCTCAGTGCAGTAACATGGCTCTCTAAACAGTCCTTAGAGAAAAACTGGAAGCTCATTCGGGATGAGGGGCTTGCTGTGATGGATAAAAAAAGAAGCCTCTTCCTGCCTGAGGATGAGAATCTACGAGAAAAAGGAGACTGGAGCCAGTTTACCTTATGGCAGCAAGGTAAAACATTTTGTACTTCTCCTCTTTCCCCGATTTCACTTTCTGAAATTAATATAGTGTAATAAGGACTAGCAACACAGTTTTTTCCAGAACCGTTGTTGCAATTGCTGAATCTGCAGAAGGGAGCTAATAAAATAGTGTCTGGGACCCCTGCGACAGTGAACAAGAGTTCTTTATTCTAAACCATGTTGTCTCCAAGCACTTCTAAGAATCCCTTGAGGGTAATACTCCTTTTCTGGCAAGGTTGCCAACATTTTGCATGGTAATGCGTGGTACGGATCAGCCCGAGGGAAGAAAGGAATGTAGGAGAAGGCGCATCCTCAATATTGTGTTGTCAGCTTGGTGAGATCTGTCATTCCAAAATGGTATGAGCAAAAGAATATGAGCTTTAATAAGCCTTCTGCCCTGTCCCTGAGCTGTGCAGTGGGAGGCTGAACTATTGGAATGACCTTAAATTCTTATAAGACTCTGCATATGAAAGAGTACTGTAAAATAGAATGTTAAAAGCAATTTATACCATTTCAACGCCAGGTTATATTTTGATACAATGTTGGTGGCATTTTTAATCTTTTTTTTCTATGCAACCTCATTAATGATTATAGTTTTAGAATCATGTTTAAAAAATGGTAGAAAGCCTGCTCTTCACAAATAATTTCAAAGCAAAGACGTTGCAGGCTGCTCTGATATTACGACGTGTTAATCCTTCTGTTTCATAATCTGTAACATGGAAATAATAATATTTACCTGTCTTTCAGAGTCAGTTCTTTGACAGCTTTGTTGCTTTTCTGCAAAGCAGAAAACAAGGAAATGATTGTTCATTGCTCTTACCAATGCTCTATCCCTTATTTTCACTAGGAAGAAAAAATGAGAATGCTTGTAAAAGTGTTCCGAAAACATGTGCTTTATTGGAAAGATTCCCAGAAGCTACTGGCTGCAGAAGAGGGCAGGTACCTGGCAAATTTCTTCATTTTTGCAAATTCCTAATGCTGGGAGTACGTGATTTTGAGGAATGTGTATAGAAGGATTCATGACCTTGGTATATTTAATGATGCTTCAAGCACACAATGAAGTTAACAGTAAAAATATGCTCAATTTAGCCCTCAGCAAATACAAGGTGAAATATGATAGCTGAAGCGTTTCTATGGACTCTTTACTTGAGCCATTTACCTTGTGTTTCATGGGAGCTCGTGGTACATAAGCAGTTATTTGCCATGTGTCAACCATTAAGTAATGACTTACTAAACCTCAGCCCTAAGTGACCTGGTCTGACTCATAGCTAACCCTGCTTTGAGCAGGAGGCTGGATTAGGTCCTTTCTAACCTGAATTTTTTTTTTCTGGTCTGAACCTAACTTTACAAGACTAATGCAGTGAGCCAGATGCTCACTGTGATAAACTTCACCCATCGACTCAAGCCTGGCTACATTAGAAAGGAGAAGAATTACATCATGGAAGCCAAACAACAATACTGCTGTCACATGGTTCTTTCCTAAAGGTAAAGGAAGGAAATTTTATATCCACGAGCTGTGGCCTTGGGTGCCAACAAGGTTTGTTTCAAGTGCCTGATCCACACTGACTACTCAGCTACAAATTAACCTCATTAAATCATGCAGTAGACCTATATGGTATGGATCAGTATATACAGAGCTGAATAAATGGCCCAACACAGATATCATGTGATTCTGTAGGACAGAATGTTTCATTATTCTTTTTTTAAGTTATTCTAATTTATCTGTAATGATTACATGAGAATAACTTTCATGGTGTAAAATTAAGGATGCAGAAGTTGGAAAACTCTGTGTTATCATAATCCTAATTCAGAGCCTTGAGAGTAGGCATTCAGCTTTTACACCAGACTCTTGCTTTTGATGTGCATAAGCACACTAGATAGCTACCGTTGTGGGAATGAGCAAGGCTGTTCTTTCACTGATTTGTTGCAAAGGTTGGTTGTCATGAATATAGCTGAGGATAGAGATCATCACGCTCAGTGTGGCTAACAGCAAGAAAACTGCTTTCTGTGACATCCATAGCCAAAATGGATCTATCCCAGAGAGCAAATTCTCTTTGAGAGCTACTATTTTGTTCATAGCTTTTTGGCACCCCACATGTTATCACCAGGGTAAGTTTGCAGAAACATTGTATGTTCGCAGCTGTAGTTGTAGTCATAGAATCATAGTCATCACATAGTCATGTGTTTTGAACATATAAGTGAAGTTCAACAAGGCCAAGTGCAAGGTCCTGCACGTGGGTCGGCGCAATCCCAAGCATGACTATAGGCTGGGCAGAGAACCAATTGAAAGCAGCCCTGAGGCAAAGGACTTGGGGGTGTTGGTTGATGAGAAGCTCAACATGAGCCGGCAGTGTGCGCTTGCAGCCCAGAAAGGCAACCGTGTCCTGGGCTGCATCAAAAGAAGTGTGACCAGCAGGTCGAGGGAGGTGATCCTGCCCCTCTGCTCCACTCTTGTGAGACCCCACCTGGAGTACTGCATCCAGCTCTGGGGGCCCCAGTACAGGAGAGACATGGAGCTGTTGGAGCGATTCCAGAGGAAGGCCATGAAGATGATCAGAGGGCTGTAGCACCTCTCATATGAGGACAGGCTGAGAGAGTTGGGATTGTTCAGCCTGGAGGAGAGAAGGCTCCGGGGAGATCTAATTGTGGCTTGCCAGTACCTGAAGGGGCCTACAGGAAAGATGGTGAGGGACTGTTTATCAGGGAGTGTAGTGGCAGGACAAGGGGTAATGGGTTCAAGCTGAAGGAGGGTCGATTTAGATCAGGTGTTAGAAATTCTTTACTGTGAGGGTGGTGAGGCACTGGAACAGGTTGCCCAGAGAGGTTGTGGAGGCCCCATCCCTGGAAGTGTTTAAGACCAGGTTGGATGAGGCTTTGGGCAATGTGGTCTAGTGGAGGGTGTCCCTGCCCCCAGCAGTGGGGTTGGAACTAGATGATCTTTGAGGTCCCTTCCAACCCAAACCATTCTATGATTCTATTCTACGATTCTATAAACTGTAATCTGAAAAACGGTGCTCTAGATGTCTTAAGTTTTATGTCCAATATTAAGGGATGCCTAGGACAATTTTGGTCTTATGCTAGCCATGTCTCAGCTTCTTAGAGGTAAATTAAATTTAAAATATCACCTAATCTCGATTCATGTACTGAAGCACTTGGAAGCAATGGGAACAAACATCAGGAAATAAGGAATTCTGTGGTAGATAGACTTTTTGGATGTTTTGAGCACCTTGTGCATTGACAAAAATGAAAGAAATGTAAAATAAATCAACTGCTGCTGAAAGACTGTGTAGAACAATAGCAAGTGATCATGTTATTAAAAAAATATATCACTCTTTAAAATAGCAGTAAAATAAAAGTAGCACATGTATTTTTAGTTCTGGGCATTTCTTAACTCTCTGGAGTTTTACATTACAACCATAGTATAACTCACTTGTAGTTCAGGACTATTTATATATAGTACTTGAGCACAGCACATTCGTATAGTTCACAGATATATCTAGACTGATCTGTGTGGACAGATAACACACGCAACGGTAATCATTCCACAGTGCTGGTATATTAGCATTAAAAAACCTGTTTCTCTGGGATATTACTAACTATCCTGCATAGCCAGTTATTTGCATTGCATTAGGCTCTCACAGCGCAATCAAGTTAACGCATCTCAGTGTAGCAGAGGTGGTGGGTTGTAGCATCTGTGTTGACCACAGCCACTGGAGCTTATCACTTGTTGTCATAAGAAACTCCCAGTAAGCTGAAACCTCAGATGGTGGCAATGGCTAAGACGTTAGACACACTGTCTTCTGCTGATTTTGTTATGGTTGGAGAGCAAACCTTAAACCCTAAGATTTATCAAAGTAACCCTATGCCAGACTGATATGCTTATTTCTCAGTTGAAAATACACTTCTCACCACTGCCATGCATTAGTCACACTTCCTGTTCATTGCATTGCTGTAGAATCACAGAAGGGTTGAGGTGGGAGGGACCTCTGGAGACTGCCTAGTCCAACCCCTTGCTCAAAACATGGTGAACTAGAGCAGGTTGCTCAGGACTATGTCCAGTCATGTTTTGAATCCCTCTGAGGATAGAGACTCTACCGCCTCTCCAGGCAACCTGTTCCAGTGTACAGTAAAAAAGTTTTTTCTTATGTTTAAATGGAATTTCCTGTATTTCAATCTGTGTCCGTTGCCTCTTTGCCTTTCGCTGGATACCGTTGAGAAGAACCTACCTCTGTCTTCTTCAATCCTCCCATCAGGTATTTATATACATTGATAAGATCCCCCTGAGCCTTCTCTTCTCCAGGCTGAGCTTCCCCTTGTATGTCAGATGCTCCAATCCCTTAATCACCTTTATAGCCCTTCACTAGAATTGCTCCGGTATGTCCATGTCTCTCTCATAGTATGTAGCACAGAACTGGACCCAGCACTCAAGGCATCTCACCAACTCTGAGTAGAGGGGAAGGGTAGCCTCCCTCAACCTGCTGCCAAAGCTCTCCCTAATGCAGCCTTAGAGGCTGTTGATGGTCTTTGCTGCAAGCCCACATTGCTGACTCATGTGCAAATTGTTGTCTGAGGACCCCATGGTCTTTTTCTGGGAAGCTGCTTTCCAGACAGTCGTCCACCAGCTTGTATTGGTGCATGGGGTTATTCCTCCCCAGTGCAGAACTTTGCACTTCTCTGTTGAACATCATAAGATTCCCGTTTGCTCCTTTCTCCAGCCTGCCAAGGTCCCTATGAATGGTAGCAAAAAAAAATGTAGTGTATCAACCATTACTCTCCAATTTTCTATCTCCTGCAAACTTGCTGAGGGGGATGCAGTCTGTCCCATCACCTGTGTCATTTGTGAAGCTATTAAACAATGTTGGACCCAGTATCAAGCCCTGGGGTATACCTCTGATGAGTGGCCTCCAGCTGGACTTTGTGCCTTGGATCGCAACTCTTTGAGCCTGGCTGAACTGCTAGTTTTCAATCCACCTCACTGTCAGCTTACGTAGTTTCTATTTCATCAGTTTGTCAGTGCAGATGTTTATGGAAGACAGTGTTGAAGTCTTACTAAAGTTGAGATAAATGATATCCACTAATCTCCCCTCATCCACCAATCTAGACATCTCACCAGAGAAAGCTGGTTAAGTACAATTTCTCCTTCATAAATCCATGCTGACTGCTCCCAGTCACCTTTTCCTTCATGTGTTTGTGTCACAAAAGAGTGGAATGCATGTCACTCAAAAGAGAGAAAGAGCAATATGTTTTATTGAGGTAAAATAGTAATTCAACACAGTTCAATAAATTTGATGGAATTTAACAAATTTTAACAGTGGTTTGCCAAAGTTCAATAAGTTTGGCAAGGTTCACCTTATTAATTACTGCATGGAAGAAACATACAAAGGAAAATTGAGTTCGAATTAAGTTAGAATGATTCACACAGAGCCTAAAGACACAAAGGGTAAGGAAGACCCTCTCAATGAGTCACGAGGTTCAGAGTGGACTCCTTTGCCTTCTAAACTGCTGATGGAGCTTAGGTATGGCCAGGTCCAATCTTAGTCTCAGACATGGTCAATGGTTTATGTCTAATGGAGTTATCTATACAAAGTTTATAATAATTAATATTTAATAGCTACATGGATTAGTAATGTTTCATTAGTATTAATTCAGCATGCAACCAGTCACTTACCAAAGATCTGCCATTGATAAAAGGTCTCTGCCTCAAGGAGCAACCTTGAGATGCGTCCCAGCTCAAGGGGAGATCACCACCATGCAACCACACTGCCTAGCAGGGAGAGCTCAAAAAAGGATCACTTAGGCTGCCATATTTGTGGAATAAAGTGATTGGCTCGTAGTCAAATTACATGTGATGGGGAAGGTATGCATGAGACTCCTTGTACCCACAACTTTCTTTGTTCCGTGATAAATGAGTCTTGGAAAAGCCACATGCTATTCATGTGCTAATCACATGATCGGTGTTCCAAGCTCATAAGCATTAATCCTCACTCTGTCACTCTACTCCTTTGTGGGTTTTCAGAGAACGGATTGAAACTAGAGGAGTTCTTGGCCTGGCTACAACTCAGGCCTTTACCTTCTTTGGAGCCGTACCAAACTACTGCTAGTTTGGTTAAGGGCTTGAGTACATCCATCACCGTTTGAAAATGGTTTCCAGGATTATTTGGTCCATCACTTTCCCAGGGAATGAGGTGACACTGACTAGCTTATAGCCTATATATATATATATTTCATTCTCAGATCCTCCTCCTTGCCCTTCTTGAAGATAGGAACATCATTTGCTTTCTATGAGTCCTCAGGGACTTCTGCTGTTTACCATGACCTTTCAAAGATTATTGAGAGTGGATTCACAACACACCATCCAACTCCCTCAGCACTCATGAGTGTCTCCCATCAGGACCCATGGACCAGTTAGTTGAGTTTGTTTAAATGTTCCCTAACCTGATCCTTCTCCACTGAGGGTAAGTCATCTTTGCTCCAGTCTTTTCCACTGGTCTTAGGTGCCTGGGATTCCTGAAGGTCAGTCATACCAGTAAAGATCGAGGCAAAGGTGACATGTAGTGCCTCAGCCTTTGTCATCAGATCTCCTGCCATATTTAGCAGCAGGCCCATGTTTTCCCTAGACTTCCTTTTACTGCTGATGTATTTGTAGAAACCTTTCTTGTTGCCCTTCACTTCCATCTCCAGATTCAACACCAGGAGAGCTTTGACTTTCCTAACGTGATCCCTGCGTGCTCAGAGAGTGTCTCTACAGTCTTCCTCGGTGACCTGACCCTACTTCCACCTCTTTTATGCTTCCTTTTTGTTTCAATTTTTTCTGGGTCTCCATGCTTGCTGCACATGAGCTTGGACGAGGTGATCCTTGAAAATCAACCAGCCCTCTTCTCTCCAGCACTGTATCTCATGGGATTTTTTCCTAGCAGATACCTGAATAAGCCAAAGTCTGCTCTCCTGAAGCTGTAGGTGATAATCCTGCTTTTTGCCTTTGTCCCTCCTCTCGTGATCCTGAACTTCACCATCCCATGGTTGTTCCAGCCAAGGCTGACAGTGACCTTCACAACCCAGTTGTCATCTGAGAGCGGCTAGTCAGTCTGACTAACACGGGCCTTGTGTCTCCTGTGGTCCATCCTTTTAAATGATAAGAGTGTCTGTAAGCCCTTCCATAGGAAGGAAAGTATTTTTATGACTGTAGATAGGAGATAATTATTTTCAGGTTGCAATAGGAATACTATTTTAAACAAAATGAAAAATATGCATTTTTAACATGCACACACCTGGATGCACCCCCCAAGACATGTTTTTTGCAGTATTGAATGCCTTTAGGACATGAGAAAGTGCAATTGTTGCTGAGACTCTAAGAAAAGGTGACTGCGCTTTTAGCCCATTATCAAGGATGAGACGTAATGAAATCCTGAGCTCCTATAGCAGTATGGTTGTGAAGCTGAACGTGTTAAAGGCCTCTCTCTCTTCTTGCAGATCAAATATTCTATCATGCATCCGGGGACACATGTCTGGCCACACACAGGGCCCACCAATTGTCGGCTAAGGATGCATTTGGGCTTGGTTATACCTAAGGAAGGCTGCAGAATTCGGTGTGCCCAAGAGAACAGGTATGGTTTGGGGGTGAAAAGGCTGAAAAGGGGGTGGGACTGCATGTAATTTAAAAAAAAAAAAGACGACAAAAAAAAGGGTGTTTTACTGATCAGGAGGTGTAATATATTTCATTAAACAGGCAATTTTGCACCCTAACTCTTGGTACAAACATATAAACATCATTTGTCAGACAATGCCAGAAGAATCTTGGGAGACAAAGCTGTTCTTCTCTGCTATAGCATGGAAATAACGATGAGTTTAGTCCATGAAGTCTCTCTGTGTTTACTTTTATAATGCCAGTCCAATATACTTGCCAACAGAGTATGTTTATTTGTTTTGATTTTTTTTTCCTTAGAATTCTTTGCTTATTCAGCCAAAGCTGAGACTAAGCTATACCTCCTTTTCACCACCATAACAGAATACTCCTGTATTTCTGTAGAAGCTTCCTTCCTAGCTACTGTTATTTGTTATAATTCAGTTTAAAATACTCCAATCAAAGTTAATTTGAAGATGAACATATCTATGAAGTGTTTGGCCCAATGAGTTACACAGGTAGCAAATTTCTTTAAAGTGCATTATAAGTAAGAATTCTTACCCCTTAGGGAAAAATTACGCTGACTTGAGGACCAGTTTTGCCTCTACGCTGTGTAAAAAAACAAAATAAAGTGTAACAGTTATACATTTACAATCAGGGCGTATACTGCCCTGGGAAATATGAGCAAGTGTGATAGGTTTTTACATACTATTAAACACCGACTGAAAAATACAGTATTAACTATATTGCTTTTTGCTTACAGACAATTTTTTGAGACTTATGTGAAATTGTAATGATGTTTGATATCTATATGTATATTTTGGAAGATTCTGTTTCTTATCTGCAACAAGCATTAATTTTGAAATCTTTTCATGGTAGTAATATACAGATATATTTGATATTGCCACTGCTGTCTGCATGACTGCAATGTGTACCAAAGATATTTTTCAGAACATTTGAAAACAACTACAACAAGAAATGCTTAGCATTTTTGAGGATAGAAGTATCCAACTGTTAATAACAGAAAATGTTGTCACTATAGGCTCCTGCCAACATACAGCTTATTTAATAATCTATCACGGTCAGTGTTACAATCTACACTACCTACGTCTAGGTAGTGACGGATGTTTGCTTCCAGCATGCCAATCCAATATCCAAAATAAGCTTAAGATAGACATTTGGATGGGAGGGAGAGGTAGACAATGGGCTTAGAGGACTAATACAGAAATGTGGAGTCTCTTTACTTTAGGACAGTATCGTGAATTCAGATTGGTGGTGACTGAATGGCATTAGCTCTTTAGTGGTCGCTGTGAACAAACTGGTGGTTTTGATCTGCTGCCAAGAGAGCAGGTGTCCACAGCTCACTTACAGCATGCACTCTTCTTTGTCTTAACCTGAACAGAAGGGATAGTGGTGTGGAAAATGAACTTAATGACCTCCTACTTGGTAGAAACAGTCCCTCAAAGTCAAGAGTGGAGAAATGCCTGGTTGCTGTTGCTGGTATGCTGCAGACTGAGCACTTCGGTGTCCAGGCTCCTGAACGTGGCTCAGTCTTACGCATCGGACTTGCTCATTTGAAATGTGAAATATTCAAGAGCTGACTACAGCCCGTGCTGGAATGTGTTAACCTTCATTGCTTTTGGCAAGAGCTCTACATTCAAAATCAAAGGCAGGATTTTCCCTGAAAGCATTGAGAGTGTGTCTACTGATGGCAATGAAAGGGTTTTTTTTTTACTTCCCCTCCCACATGGAAGAGGAGGTGGGTTGAACCACTGTGAAAGTGGACAGTGCCAGGAGGAAATCCTACCTTGGGCATTTTCAGTTTCTCCCTCCTGGTGGTTCAGAGCAGTGGTAAACCAGTGGTTTCAAATAGGAGACCTGGGTCAAATATGAAGGTTAGCATACCAGGGTCAGGTCTTTTCTGGCCTCCTGTCCCCCTGCTCTGTGTACGAGAGAACAGAAACAACAACAATTTTGTGCCCAGTTACCTTTGTGCCACCCAATGTGGGTGTTTAGAGGGGCAATGTTAGGATGCAACTTATTCTTTGATGGACAGGCAACTCAGCTCTGTCTAGCACTTGCAGAAGAGTCTTTCTGTAGCTGTTAGGAGCTACTACACCTCATTGGTATTCAGTACAGCTATAGTAATTTTATGTCATTGCCATTTTGAAGTCCAAGCTCTGTAAAGTGTAGGGTACAATGCACAAAAATGTTAGGTAAATAATATCTAGTTATCAAAATCAAACATCTCTGTCACACAAGGTAATCGTGTTTTGAAATGAAGGTACAGAATTACAGTCTTATGCAGAAGCCAGTCCAAGATCTCACCTGTAACAGGTGACACTAGAGCTGTGCAGGTGATGGCGAAACTATTCCAAAGTGGCTCAGCACCAGACCAGAATAACACTGTGTCCCTATGTCGCACTGTGAATTGTTTCTCACACCGTGAAGGCTTCTAGAAAATGTTTATTTGCATGCTAATGGTGGGGTTTGTAGTCTATTTAAAATGGGCTAATAGTTCTGTCAACTTTATGACTTTTTCTTTGTTGTGCAAAACAGCCCAGCTCATTATGATGCAAATGACAGATCCTGGGTTTTAACCTCTGAAGCTACTTCATCTGGGTGCTTGGAGTTTTTTATTGTCCTTAACTGAGCTGCACTTGCAGGCTATTTAAGGCAGGATTTTTCAGGCTTGGTTTAATTTTTAAAACCAAAACCAACCCAACCCAACAACCCCCTTCACCCTCAAGGAAAAAAGCCAAAACAAAATACCCCCCCAAAAAAAATCCTAAAATCAAATCCCCCACCCCCACCAAATCACAAAAAGCCCCACCCCACGCTTCCAAAAAACCCCCACAAAGTCGGCTTGATTTTTTTTTTTACCACATTGTATCATTGCAAGTGATTGACTCCAATTGACTTGATTAATAGCAATGTAACTTTAGTGCGGTAGCAGGGTCATCTATATGACATAAAACATTTTTGTTATCAGATAACTGATGTGGTAGCAGAAAAAACTCATGATCATAGCTGAAACCTGCAAAAGGCTAATTATCTGGGCCTTCAAGGCTGATGTCTGTGTGCAAGCCAGTGTGAATTTTTTACTATGTTATGCTTTCTGGTTTATCTACTCTTGCTTAAAATATGTTTTGATGATCATTTTAGTTGAAATGATCCAATCTCAATTTCCATTTCTCTTCAGAACATTACAGCACAACCCCATACATTTTGATGGTTAATTTTTGCTTTTGTTAAATTAAAAATACCGAGATGACTTGGGAGTCTAAATTTCATTTTTACTCTGTTTTTGAAAAAAAGGAGTTGTTTTCTCTGTGAATGAACACAGTTGAATAAGCTAAGCAATATATTTCCATCTTTGTTGGCAAGATCTTTGTTTCTTTACCATCGCTACCGTTCATAGTTCTTAATTCCCTTTAAGGACATCCATCCACTTGGACTGCTTCAGCTCCTAAGGGATCCTGTCAAAAAAAAATTGATTATGTGGTCATTGTAGAGTGGCTTTAGGAGGTAACACTTCTTTGACCATTATTGACTCCACTGACTTATTCATCCAGTCTCACCTGAAGGGATATAATCAGGTGCATGCTTTTGTGCTGCTACAATGCAAAATAAATTTGCTTTGCTCATACCAGTGCCTGACTTTACAATAGACAAACCATGTAATACATAATCAGCTACTGTGTCTAAATGCAGTGGGTAAGATTGAGATCTGAGGGGCAGTGACAGATGACTAGCACAGTGACTTTTTGACATGTGACATTAGCAGTAGTGGTCTCTGATCAGTTGCTGATTTTTTTGCGGTTTCAGGACTGCATTTAACCAGGCATTAAACCTCTATTCAAAATTCTGAATCCAGATCTCAGCAGGCTGAAGAAGTCAGCTGAAACTTCTTGAAGTTCAACAAAGCAAATGCAAAACCCTGCAACTGATAACAGATTGACACTTTGCAACAATACAGACTGGGTGATGACTGGATAGAAAGCCGCTTTGAAGAAAAGGACTTAAGGGTCCTAGGAGATGAGTTGAACATGAGTCATAATGTGCTCACATCTTGATGATGGCTAGCTATGTAGTGGACTGTGTTAGTAAGTGTGTAGGAAGCAGTTTGAGGGAAGCAATTTTTTCCCTCTCTTCTGCACTAAAGACACCACCTCTGGAGTACTGTCTCCAGTTTTGGGGCTCTTCAGTACAGAAAAAGTCATTGATAAACTAGTGGGACTCCAGTGGATGATTAAAAAGATGATTAGGAGACAGTAGCATGCAGCACATGAGGAGAAGATCAGAGGGCTGGTTTGGAGTCTGAAAGAAAGAAGGCTAAAGGGGAGCCTAGTTACTATCTTCAACTACTAATGGGTGACTGTGCAGAAGACAGTGCCAGACTCTTTTTGGAGGTGAGCAGTTATAGAATGAGAGGTAATGAGAGGACACAAGTGACAGGGAAGGAAATTTTATCTAGATAGAAGGAAATTTGCATAATGAGGTTGGTGAAACACTGGAGGAGATGGTGGAATATACCTGGTTGTAGGCACTCAAAAATCCACTGGTTGACAACCTGAGATACTTCATCTAACCTCAAAGTTGGATCTAACTTTGCAGTAAGCCTTGCTCTGAGCAGAGGCTTAGACCAGATGCCCTTCAAGGTTTCTTGCAACCTAAATTATTCTGTGATTGTATCTTTCATAAAATTGACAGGAACACCAATTCTTCTGACAATTAATATCTCCCTTCTACATTGCCTCTTGCCATTGCTTTTAAATCTGGTAATTTTTCAAATGACGGTGGTGCTCAAAACCAAGCCACTTTGAATAAATTGTGCAAATCCCTTTTTCTACCTAACAAAGATACAGCTCTTGGAAACGTATCACTGTTAAAACTTGGCTCTTCCATGCCGTAATGAACACTCACCCAGGGTACTTACCTCCCTTCTGTCATGTGCTCTGCCTAAGCACTACTTGGCAGGCAGAGGGGCTTTAAGTTATATGGTCTCATCCTTTCAGTACAGCTTTAACAGTATATTAACCCAGTGTATGCAACGGCATTGCAACCTTCCTCTGAAGAAAAATCTTCAGGCTCTGTGCTTTGAATGGATTTATGGGAAAAAACTGTTAATATCTCTGAAATTTTAAGCATGATCAGGGCCTAATTCTGTTGTTCTGATTTTTAGAAAAAGCCGATTGATTTAATGTCATTTGTTTTCAAAGCATATGACCATATTACTGGTCATTCCCTCAGTTTCCATCACCCATTATGTATGTATCTGATTAAAAAAGAAGAATTGATTACTACACCAGTATTATACCTGCTCCCTGCTTATTGGACTCAACTCATTAAAAATATATAAATAAATATTGTAAGTGTCTGAATGTGTATGTGGGCATAACTATGCAGAGTGAGGGGAAAATTCCCTCAGTGATATGAACATCCATTAGACTGACCTTTCTGTAGTTTATTTCAGTTAAAACTCTGATACTCCAATCTCTTTATATTGGGTAGTGAAATCCTGACTGTGCAATATATACTGTTTAAATCATTCTCGTATGTCAAAGAGCATCTTCAGAGCTGATATATAGCTTGCCTGCTCCACGGCACTTCAAATACTACACTAAATTATGTTATTTTTTGTGTTGCAGAACCTGGGAAGAAGGGAAAGTTCTTATATTTGATGACTCTTTTGAACATGAAGTATGGCAGGATGCTGAAAATTATCGCCTGATATTCATTGTGGATGTGTGGCACCCTGAGTTAACAGCACAACAGAGACGCACCCTTCCTGCTATTTAAGGGGTTCCTTCTGATGTTAAGAGCATAGGAGCTGTAACCCCTTTGGAGTATGCCATTGGGACTAATTTATCCAACGTACGAAGACTACAAGTATTGTAAGGGTTAGAAGAGATAAAGATGACATTCTACAATCACAGAGGACTTGATTTAAAAAAAGGAAAAAAAAAGAAGAAAAGGAAAAAAAAAAGCCATGTTTTCGTTTCATACTGATACAGCACTGATAGATATTGTTTTTCAGGCTGCAGGTTTGAATATACAAATCTTGTCAGCCAAAGTCAATAGGTCTGGATTTTCAAACTGAGGAATGTGCAGATGTTTTTGCCATGCCTGTATCATGTGTACAAAACCGGTCAGTCACCTGCTTGACCACGTTCAGGCACAAGATTGTGATTCTGTATCCAGGAAATACTGCCCAGGCTTTTATCTGGGAAACAACATGTAAGATATTTACAAACATGTGCACACAACCAACTTTGAAAATCAGTATGCAGTTGTAATGTTAGCTGCTTTAGGCATAGATCATGTCCTTATGTAATCAACTGTAGATAATGTGAATGGGTTATGTGTTTTTTGTATTTTTTTCTACCTGAGTAACTGTATTTTTCTAGCATAATTATGAACAAATCTTCTTTAATCAACCACTATTTTTTAAAAAAATGAGATATATATATAAATGCATTTTTAGCTATCAGCAAAAGGAAAACACTATATATGAACAGAATTCATTTTTGCCAAGTGTGGCCTTCTCTTGCCTTCCTGGAAATGCAAACAGAACCTTGCATAATCAGCTACTTAGTGAAGCTTTGTTCTTCTAAAACAAAATAGTTAGCAGGAAGCCTTCAGTTTGATAATGTGATTTGGGAAGATGTTGAGCAAATGTGACATCTATAGGCTCAGATCGTCAAGTGCTTGACAGTTCTTAGGATTATGTGGTGAACTGCTGTTTCTCCTATCGTTACAATGGCTTGTGTTGCAATATCCATTTTCTACCCAGCAAGCGTCGGGGGCACCTCCTTCCAGGGGCTCCTTCTAGGCTGCCCTTGGGTGGTCATTCAGCAGAAAAAAAATATGAATAATTTCTTGTGCTTTGGGCAGAAGGACAAGGTCTGACTTGGTTTCCTGCCAGAATGTAGAGTAGACAAAGAGCTTCAGGTTATTAACTTGCATTAACTTCTGCTGCCAGCGTCCTACAGAGTGCTAGAATGATCCTTTAATTGAACTAATGGTGTTTTCCTTGTCTTGAAATGCATGACACAATGCTGAAGTAGTCTTATCCTAGTACTGTTTACAGTATACTCTGTATTCGCCATATAGAATTTACTGTATGGTAAAAAGGCCTTCTTTTCAAGAGAGAAAACTGATTGGATGTTTAATCAGTTGGCTGATCTTTGAGTTCTGTACTGTTTGATGGGAGATGGAGAGTGCAGGACCTTCCGCTATTAACTTCTGAGAACACTAACAGGAAAGAGAGACCTGAGGTTATACTGATGGTGATTATCGCTGGCTGGCCTGCAAAACCAGCTGGGTGTGGATAGGTGCGCTAGGATGTTCAGGGCTCGTCAAGAGCAGTGGCGTCATTACCGAGGGTTGCGAGACAAAAACACTAAGCAAGGAGACATTGAGATTACTAAGTCTCCACGGCTTTGGCTTTGTTGTCCAAAAGACACTGAACAGTCATCTGTTTGTGCAATGCTCAGTGGTTTTGTACTGCAGAGACCGCATCATGGTACCTAAGCATCGTGACCAGAACGCCACATTTGTTGAAGTAAAATACAGATAAGAGCTTTGCATTCCCATAAACTGAATACTTTTCTGATTTTGTATTTTACTAGGTAATTGAATCTTGTAATGCCATGTAACACATGGTGATTGCACCATAAATTAGTATAACCAGTTTCTGGAGGTGTGCACTTTAATTTCCTTTCTGACTATTAAACTGATAAACCCTCTTTGATCAAGTGTCAGTTTTAGACGGCGATGATAATTAGGATTTAATGTGTTGTCTGTATCAAAACTAACATTGAGACTATATACAATATACAAGAAAGTAACAATTCGCAGTTAATCATCGTGAAAACTGAAAAGATTTATAAGTTTTATGCTTAAGAAAATATAAAAACATTTTTGGAGAGCTTTAGGAGAATCATGTGCAAAACTGGAAATAAGGTACTCGTTATTGTGGGGGGTCATAGTAAAAAAGGATTTAAAAATCTCCTGGTAGTTGTTTAATCAGAGGCTGTATTTTGTATCTCTGTAAAGTGATCAAACAGTACAAATTATAAACTATTTTGTAATTCTGTAAAATAAAGACATAGTTTGTCAGGAAGAAATCAAGAACTGTTTAAACCCAAATTTGTGGTTTAGGAATATTGTTATTAATGTTGCATTTTAGTTTCTATACCTCAGAGTAAATACTAAAGGACTGGTAAACCTTTGGAGCTTTATTTGTAAAAATCCATGCCGTCCTTCAGATTGTTTCATTGTTCCTTTAAAGTCTCATACTTTTGATTACAAATGATTTTATCTATTGGCAAATAGATAAAAGTAATCTATCTAAGGTGTGCGAGTGCCGGAGTAGCACTGTTTATTAAATTGTGTAGTGACGTATTGGCCATTTAAAATCTTAAGTGCCTTGAATATGACAAGGTGTATTACAAATAGCTCCTGCAACACTGAAGTCAAGCTACTCTGTGCCTACCTGTCAAAGAGCTGAGAGCATATTTTTTTGTTAGGCGCAACTGGATTAGCTATATACATGGGGGGGGGGAATATATACACAGCAAACTACAGAAATTATGCAGTGAATAAGTGGTATATTATTTTAGGTATTCCTGTTTGCCAACTGGTATTTCTTCTTGAAAAAGTTTTTTTAATGTTGGAATGTTGGAAGAAGTGAATGGAAATGGTTTTTAAAGGGACAACCATTGCAATTTAAATATTTTTTTTTCTTTAGATTTATTTACAGAGGGAAATGACAGAGAAAGGCGATATAGTCTCTTGTTTATAAGGCAGTACGTACTTGTCACGCTGTTAGGAGGTCAATTCCTTCCTGCCTGTAGTTACTTTGCTTGCAAACACAGTGTCTGTATAAGATCCTGCAGTTAAATACAGGCATCGTACAGTTATATACAAGACATTATATGTATTTATTCATGTCACAGCTAAAGAAAATAAATAATTCTAATCTTCTGCAAGGTTTAATCCTCAAGGACTAGATTTCGGTGATATTTGCACTTCTTGGGCAGAACAAGTCCTACTTGAATGAACAGTGATTGTAACAGGTCATCACAAAGATTCAATGACAGTGGAGGTAAGTGTATTAACAGAGAAAAATTGTAAACCAAAGTATTTTTTCATTAATGCTGCAGTATAATAGCCAATGTCTGTCTTTTTTTGTCTGTTTGGTTTTTTACTTTCTGCTTTAAGAAAGTTCTCTGTGACAAATCCAAATGCCTGTGAGTCTTTATGAGCCCAGGGAAGGGAAGGGAGCTGTGTCCTGTTACCACGAGTTGGCATCCTAGTTTTCTGTAATAGGTGGTAATGCCGGAGGAGGGGATGGAAGAAATCCCAAAGATAAACGGGCTCAGTTGTCTTATTTGTTTAATGTTCCTGCAAGCTTCTTTTTGTGACTCCTGTATTGCCTTGCTGGGACTATCCACTGCCTTAAAGACTCGCTCTCTATCACGGAGGCCAGGCTTTGTATCAATGACACGCTGCTGCAGAAGAAGGTTAGTCTGAATGAGGCTATTCTGTACAAACAGTAGGAGGTAAATCCCAGGTGTGTTGATAGGATCTGGCAGGATGTCCTTTCTGCCCTGTGCGGGCATGAAATGTTGTTGTAGATAAAGGCAGTATTTTGTTACTCCGTCTGTTAGGGCTGACCATGTCCAGCTGAACTAGATCATCACTTCAGCGTATCACTTATGAATTCAGTGGATGTTCCAGAGGCACATTAAAAACTCTTGTGTCCATTATCATCTCATTTTATATATATGGTTTACATTGCTACCTTTGATATGTTGTTGCCAGCCGCTTGTTCTAGTAAATTGTCAATGTATGGCAGTTTAATTAAAGACTAAAGGTGTGTACAGTGGTTGTAACCATTTTAGGAAATAAAGTCACTGCACATACAATTTGGTAACGTTCATTCTTTTATTTCTTTAATCCGGTTGCTGTTTCAATGAAGGGATGGGACTCTCTTTGCAGTTAGAGCAAACAGAGAAATAACAAACTGATCTTTGGCATTTCAGTTCTTCTATTCTTTCACATTTCCTTCTAGCAGAAGCTTGTACTGAATAATTAATTCTAGGTTTTCCTTTTTTATTTTATCCATGGCCTGCATCTGCAATCAGTGTACCCTTCTGGCTACACCTTTCACTGACTGCAGGAGGGAAGGGGGTAAATGGCTCTTCAGAGCTTTCGTTTGCTGTTGTGACCTAAATGAAATGGATTCAACCATTAATCACTGGTGAATGTGTCCAATGGGTCTCCCTACCACACCCCCGCCTTCACACATGCGCACACACACGTGCACACACACATATCTAAGAGGCTCCCGAGTTGCCTGTGGAAAAACACATCGTTAAAATTAAATAATTGCATTTCAAATTGTGTGCGTCTGTTGCCCACACAGCACATTTCACTTAGCTGACAGTTTTATAAGGGCTTCAAAAGTTAAGAGTAATTTTTGCTTGATACTGAAATAAGGGAACCCCCCTATAAGCAGCATGGATGAGGCAGTCACAAAGTATCATGTTGAGTGGCATTATGCTGGCACCGATGTTTTTTCTTTTCTTTTTTTAATGCAAAAATCCTTCTGTAAAACTGAGCACCCTGTAGATGCTACTGTTTCTGCCCTCTGAGCCAGATTAAACTGCTCATTACAGTGCAAAGTTTAAATTTGAGATGTTTTTCTTTAACACACATTTAACCTTTGCTTCTATGAAATCGAGCATCCCTGCCAGAGGCTTCAAGAAAACTTCTACTGACACACCCTAGTTTCTTTGAACAGAGAATGCAGTCCCATAATTTCCAGTATTTTAATGTCATAAGTAAAAAAAAAAAAAAAAAAAAATTTCTTTGTATATGGACAGCCAATAGAAATTTCTCAGTTTTTGTTCAGCGTTGGCCGCACGGACAGATGGCTGGTGAGACTTGTTACTTGCTCAGGAAACATGAAGGACTTGT